TATAACTTTTGTCATTGCTTCTCGTGATGAAAATTCTAGTTTGATCATTCCATTGAATGATTTATCAGACCTCTTCTGTTGAAATTCACACTTAGTGACTATACCAGGGTAATTCTGCATAATATCCCTTTTCATATCATCCTCGTTGTGATCATCATACACATGCTTAACCATGGCAACAGTGTTATAGTCACCTGGTATTTTCATACCTTTATTACCACCAAAATGACTGGTTTTCCAGTTAGACTGCACAGTTTTAGCTGTGTTTTCATCCTCAAATTCAAATGTGATGGAACCCGATGCCGTTAACCTACAATGTTTGATCAGCGAATAAAGAAAACTCCTATGGGGCAAGAAACAAACTCCTATGGGGCAAGAAACAATATTATATTATTCATTCTGCGTGATTAATGTTTTTCGGTTTAAATGATATGCATAAAATGTAAAATCAAAAATGTAAATAAAAAATTGGTACACCGCGCATAATTAAATTAACATGCCGCGCGTTTATTTTGTATTTTAACTGATTTAAATATTATATCGCACTGTAAAATAAAGCGGCACATAACACATAAACAACTAGTTAGATTTAATCCCTTGTATTTATTTTCCATGAATTTTCAGATTTACTTCTATTCTTCTCACTTTTTTATTTTACTTGGGAATCCATGAAGGCTATGTGTTTATAAACCATAAACACACCGATTGTATATAATATTAATATAACTGAATTTAAGTATTGCCCTGAATTAGCAAATATTACTTCGAAGAAATTTGTACAAGTTATTTAAAACAATCTTTACCAAATTATGAAAACATATTTAAAACAAAACTTTGGTTTTCAGCATAATTATAAACATAATTTTTTGCAAAATATTGTAACTCAAGTTGTTGCGCACGAGTGCGCGGCAGGGCTACAATGAGAAACAAAGCGTTGTGGACTATCGATTTATTAAATTTAAACATTGAGAATACAAGTACTTAGTAAATAAAAATATTTTTAGAATAACTTTTACTTCTGCTACGGAATTTTTATTTTATTTTGAATTCATTAGTTTAGGCTCAGCGCCGTCATTATATTTTTGTTTTACTATGAGGTCCCCATGTATTCGCCGCTCTGTCAGCCTTGTCAAATTGAGGATTGATTGATTGAAATAAATTTTCGTGCACATACAGAATGAATGGTTAATAATTTAATATATATGTAGACCAAGGTCTGTGCACGGGATGCTTCCTGGAAGAATCCAGTTCTTTTAGCGGGGCACCCTACCTAAAACCAAATTGAGATATAATAATCATATTCCTAAGAAATAATCAGAAATCGAATACCAATCAAATAATATGATATACGTATAGGAGTGGTAACCATATTTACTATGCAAAATGCCCCAACCACATAGTGTAAATTTATATAGAATCCAAATTCCATATCATCATTAAACCTCAATAGTCAATATAATAGCCCAAGCAAAATTAAATAACTTCTTATATACCTTACTGTCATACTACAAATTGATTAAACATTTGAAATCTGTTAACCAGAGAATAAATTTCTAAACCTAATGCAAGTGAAATAATTTAGATGCAATAATGAATGCCTAATGTGAGTATCATCTGTCAATGTCCTTGTAAAACAGTCTGTACAAGAGATATGAGTAACTAAAATAGAAGAAAAAACAGGAAGTTGTCGTCTGTTGAAAAATAAATAAAATATCTAGAATATAAATTAGAATATAAAATAACATTCAGTCAATGTGTCGTCAATGAACTGTACAATTATCAAATGTTAAAACTGGGTGATACAGTCACCAAAAATAAATACTAAGTATGATAAGTTAATAAATTAAATGTGGTCTATAAAACTACCACTAGGTATAATAGGTCAATAAATTAAAAGTGGTTTATAAAACTACCACTGTGCGAATCCCTTCTCCAGTTAAAACATGTCAGTCATGTGCAAAATCAATCAGAATGGTAAGGTGGTCAAAAAGGGAATATCCTTTCGACATAAATTATATATGCCTCAGATTTAAAAGAATAAGAAGATACTTAGTTATCGTCGACTATGATTGCAGTGTAAAATTTGTCATATGAATTGTCGATGGTGTAATTAGGGTCTGTTGTTATAGATGAGAGTAGCTGTTTCTTATACTAATCACTTAAGCTTTTAACATCGGGCAGATTTCGTAGAACATTATTCCAACATTTTGCCCCCAAGTATTGAAAGTTTTTATGTGATGTTGATCTATTAACATATAGGTTGCAGCTTTCGCCGCTCCTACTACCTCCTGATATGTAACTAAATTTGTTCATAAAGTTTGTAGGACAATTGTCATGGATGATTCTAAACATATAATTAGACAGATGGAGTTGTCGTCTAAGATGGAGTGGTAACCATTTCATGTCTCTATAAACATTAAGGCTGCTCTCTGTTTGTGGAACGTTGAGAGCTATTTTGGCTACCTTTTTGTACAGAGTGTCAAGTTCAGCAAGTTTTGTCTTGCCAGCTCTACAATAGATCGTGTCTAAATAATCGAATTGTGGCAACATGAGTGCATTGGCAAACATTTTCCTATATTTAATGGGTAGCAGTGCTTTGCTTCTATACATGGCACCAATTCTCTTCATGACCTTCCTAATAATATAATCTACATGGCTTTTGAAGTTTAATTTACTATCTAGAATGAGGCCAAGATATTTTGTCTCTTTGCACTCCTTGATTGTGAAAGTTACCTCATTACATTCAATGGTTAATTCATCATGTTGATCAACAGAATCAAACAATAGGAATTCAGTCTTCTTTTCATTGAGTGATAATTTATTAACACTGAGCCATTTAAAGATTGTCATAAGTTCTATTTTCATGTTTATAAATGTGCTTCTGCAGGTTTGATCAAAGAATAGTGCACCATCATCTGCAAATAGAAAGGGCTTAGATAGGTTACAGGCATAAATGATGTCATTTATGAAGATACTAAATAATATAGGCCCAATGATGCTTCCTTGTGGTACACCACTCAGAACTTCTAAAAATGAGCTTATTTTGCCATTGATCCTTGTGCATTGATATCTACAAGATAAGAAGTTCTTAAACCAGGTTAAAGCAATGCCACCAATTCCATAATATGCCAATTTTTGAAGCAATATTTCATGATTCACTGTGTCAAAGGCCTTCTTAAGAACAAGAAAGATGATTCCTGGTTTATAAGACTTAGATTTCCAGTCTAATGCTGTAGCCTGCAAGGAAGAGTGTCCACATCATCAATCAGATGGGTAAACCGCCTCTGGACGCTCTCCAGCTCCAAAACAGTCCCCCAACTTCCATAAGCCGCAGGTGGATTCCACAATTGGACACAATACTCAAGATGAGGTCATATTAAAGCTTTATATATAATAGTAATCATAACAACTTTTTCTCTGATAACCAAATTCCTTACAATACAACAAATCATAGGATTTGCCTTAGAGATACATGTTTTGATCTGTTCGTTGCGAAGCAGCTATGGGTAATAATTATTATTATACCTAGTGGTAGTTTTACAGACCACATTTAATTTATTAACTTATTATACTTAGTATTTATTTTTGGTGACTGTATCACCCAGTACAGTTTTAACATTTGATAATTGTACAGTTTATTGACGACACATTGACCGAATGTTATTTTATATTCTAATTTATATACTAGATATTTTATTTATTTTCCAACAGACGACAACTTCCTGTTTTTTTTCCTTCTATATTAGTTACTCATATCTCTTGTACAGACTGTTCTACAAGGACATTGACAGATGATACTCATATTAGGCATTCATTATTGCATCTAAATTATTTCACTTGCATTAGGTTTAGAAATTTATTCTCTGGTTAACAGATTTCAAATGTTTAATTAATTTGTAGTATGACAGTATATAAGAAGTTATTTAATTTTGCTTGGGCTGTTGTGTTGACTGTTGGGGTTTAGTGGAGGTATGGAATTTGAATTTTATATAAATTTACACTATGAGGTTGGGGCATTTTGCATAGTAAATATGGTTACTACTCCTATATATCATATTATTTGATTTATTCGATTTCTGATTATTTCCCTAGGAATATGATTATTATATCTCAATTTGGCTTTAGGTAGGGTGCCCCGCTAAAAGAACTGGATTCTTCCAGGAAGCATCCCGTGCACAGAGCTTGGTCTACATATATATTAAATCATTAACCATTCATTCTGTATGTGCACGAAAATTTATTTCAATCAATAATCCTCAAACCTTTTTCTGTGCAGATACTTCAAGTTCTATACCATTAACCTTATAATTTAAAATAGTAACTACTACTCTGGCTAGCTTGATTATTACATCAGTTTCTGTATTTTCTGTTGTATGAGGTATATTGTACTGTGTTTAGAATCCTTTTTTTCCCTATTGAAAGAAAAAGGTTTAACGTTGCATAATGCTTATATTAAGCTTCATTAAGCTAAATATGATATGGGTTTTTACTTCTTAGTATTCTAAAGTTGGCAGTCCATGGCATTCTTAAGCTAACCTCACGATTGTTGTGGCTAATTTTCTATTTTTATTGGCCATTGGAGACTATTCCCCCTGCCATTGCATGGAATAAGGATCAGATATTGGTTGAGGTCAGTGGCATAGATGGGGTTGCAGCCAGTGGTGTAACGTTGCCTGTTGCTTTTAGTTTGCTGAAGACTGAAATTTAATGACCCGTTTTACCATTAATACAGTTTTACTTCTTAATCTTTTTTTGTGGACACACAAGCTCCCATCATTTGGCTCTCATAATTTACATCTTGCCACTAGTCTAGAGAAGACAAAGAGAAACCCAAATTTACTGTACAGTTTGGGAACTGAAAAATAGTATGGTAAATAAGGGTGTAAAGTAAAGTCGTTATAATTCTCTACATAACACTAGTTCCCAATCAGATGTTATAGTTGACAAGCATTTAAGTCAGGGTTAGATAGCGGAAGTAAGAAGCTGAATATTCCATTAAATTTTCAGCACTATGAAAGGATCAATCCCATCAGACAACGACAAGATATTGGCAGTTCTATTTGTTGAGTTTGACAACAACTATGGAATCAAGCTATCCTATCAAGTACCAGACAACTTTATTGATGAGACAACATTCAAAATCCTTGAAAACTATTTTGTAACTAAGAGCAAGCAGCTGCATGGAAAGCTCATAGTGACTCAAACATTTGATTTTCAGACTATCGGGATACCTACTGAAATACCTCATTCTAACGCTGTCCAAAACGGACGAAAGGTCTCCATTTTCAACATTGTTCTCATAACAAAAGTGGGTGCAAATACTGATCCTTATGAAAAAATTTTGAAAAAACTCATCAGCTACTTTACTATCTTTGAACAAGAAAAGCGATTTTTATCTTCAGAGGGTAAAAATTCAAGAATTCGAGACATTATAAACAATATTTTTCGTGGTATCAATGATCATGGGTATTGCAGTGTAAATGTAATTGATGAACTGAATGTTATAAAACTATCTTATGTTAATAAGGACCACTGTGTAAACCCACCTCAAATCAAAGACAGTGATGTTCCCATCATAATATCAAACTTGGAGGAATGTGTTGCTTGGGATCTTACTTTAAGAGAATTATACCCTTTTCTGGATAATCAAAAACCAATGAGGTAAGATAACGCTAGTAAATTTCATGTTTTTCATTTTAATGTAATCAAATCATTCTTTTATTTCGCTTCATGGTATGTAATTAAAATTTTAAATGTGATCAATTTTGCACTAATGAAATAATTGTTATGGTGAAATTTTATATATCACATAATTGTTTCAGATTGTTGGCTGACTTAAGTCTACTTGATATCATGCTGGTCAAGAAGTGCATCCAGAGCCTCATCTATTATAACCTTGCGTTTGTTGTCTCACCTATAAGATACTCAAACACATATTATGTGACAAGCGCAATCCAGTCTATCATGCAAAGTACTGCCCTGCAAGAGGAATGCATTGACTATGTGAAAATGGATGATCGATATCCCTGCCCATCTTGGGAGGTAATCTTTAATCTTTACGAAACTTTTCAGTCAGGAATAAAACTTAAACAGGTCTTTCTGTATGAGAAGCCATTTCTTAGGAATATAAATGAAAGAAGATTAGTTGAATTTGGTCTGCTGAAAGGAATTTTAAAAAGACTTCATAGATACCCTATTGCTTGTGGGTCAGCTGATGAAGATGACTTTTTACCAGAAGTTCTTGAATATATTCAGCATGGAGTGTTGGATGGTCAGCATTCTTATGATGATATTTGTGTTAAATTAGGTTGCAAATTAGATAAAGTTGAAAACGACCTTGACTTTTGCAAGAATATAACTATTGTTCAGAAACTTGATGTTTAGTTTTTATTGTTTTACATCAGAACATGATGTCTGCCATTTTTTAAAATAAAAACTTATAAAATAATTAATGTGATCTAATTATTTTTGTGCTGTGAAATCTACGTTTTTGTAATTATTTCAGATTTTACTACTTTATTATTTAATTCAAATCACCCAACAGACGCAGAGAACTGCATCTTTTAGACGATTCCATTTTAATATCTGCAATTCAAATAAATGAACCAATTTATTAGAAAATAGAAGCAGTAAACGACCGGGGGTAGGATTTGGCCGGGAATGTCCAAATTTTGCCGGGGCCGGGAATTGGCCGTTCTGGAATTTGGCCGGGGCCGGGGCAGTGAATTTAATAAATCCACGGCCAAGTTAGAACTTTTCAGGACTTAGGATCTGAACTTATTGAAAAGTTGGCACTCTAGACATCATCCTTTCAAAATTGAAAATCCATTTTAAGATTTATATGAAAGTTTTAGGCCGATTTCGATCAAAAATTCCCGGCCAAATTCCCGGCAAAAATTGAAAATCGGCCGGGGCCGGGGCCGGGAAGAAATAGCTCCCCCGGTGCCGGGATTTCACGGCGCCGGGAATCACGGTCGATTACTGAATAGAAGTATGTTTTACATAATGGCATATTTTAAGATATAAAATCTTTTTTCCTTCCATCTATTTGAAGAATTCATATCATTAAATGATAGATTCAATTTTAACTGCTATCAAATATACTGTAGTTAAAAGTGTTAATGTTTCTTCTGGCAGGTGAAATTTTCTATTCAATCAGACCATGCCCTAAATGCTAATTTTTTAAATTCATCAGAATGGTGGTATGACATGTTGAAAGGATGGACTACATCACCAAACCTAATGTGGAGAATGTGTTGCTGCAGAGAAACTTGAGGATAAGTAAAAACTACATAACTGGAACATTATACACATTTCCCACCTCGTTTTTGTTCAAATGTAACGAATCAGATGCTACTTCTAAAGGTCTACTGAGTATTCCTGGTGGGGAGATCCAAGTACCACATTGTCAAATAGAATCGATTGAAAGGCTTAACCTGACACCTTCTGGAACTCCCCTTTACATAAGATGTAAAACATTCCTGGTATTGAAGTTTATATTTAGAAGAGAACCTGATGCAAATGATGTTGAGAGGACATTAAACAGACTTTCCCGACCAGTTTCAATAGAAGAGATATCTGTACTCAACTACCGCCCCAACTCTGTTCACTGCCTTGCATCACAACGGTCTGGCTGGCATGTATTCGATATAAACATAGAGTATGCCCGGTTTGGAGTTCCAAATAATGATTGGATACAATGCTGGCTGAACAAAGATTACAAACTCTGTCCTACTTATCCTAAGTGGTTGTTTGTCCCTTCTGAGGCAACATCAGAGATTGTGACAGGTAGTGCTAAGTTTCGAAGTCAAGGACGACTTCCAGGTCTGTCTTTTATCTATCAACCAACTGGTGCTGCTATTTGCCGCTGCAGTCAACCTTGTGTAGGCATTACTAATAATAGATCTGAATTTGATGAGAAAATGGTGAGTTGCATCAGAATGGCAAATAAGAAGAGCAAAAACAAGATTTACATCGTTGATACTCGTCCTAAAGTAAACGCAATGGTCAACAAAGCAGGGGGAAAGGGATATGAGGATGTTAAAAATTACACCGATGTTCTGTACAAAAACTTTCCAATCCAAAATATCCATGTGATGAGAGAAAGTATGGCAAAGTTGAGAAATACGCTCGAGATGGCAATCAGTCCATCTGCACATTTGTCAGGAGTTGAAGAATCTGGTTGGCTCTCCCATGCAAAGGTGGTTTTAAACACAGCAAAATTTATTGCTCGAGCTGTGTCAGTGGAAGGTTACTCAGTTCTTATTCACTGTTCTGATGGATGGGACAGAACAGCACAAACTTCATCCCTGTCACAGATCTTGCTTGATCCTTACTACAGATCACTCAATGGGTTTCAAGTTTTAATCGAAAAAGAATGGCTGGCCTTTGGACATAAGTTTGTTGACCGATGTTCCCTGCTGTGTAGAAACCCTGATGAAGCTTCGCCAATATTTCTACAATTTCTCGATTGTGTATTCCAGCTGCAAAATCAGTTTCCTACCCACTTTGAGTTCAATGAAAACTATCTTATTGAGCTGTATGACATGCTTACGGCTGGTAAGTTTGGAACATTCCTAGGCAACAATGAAAAAGATAGAAATCGCCAAAGGCTCTCGGAAAGAACATTTTCTATCTGGGGATACTTATGGGAGAATATCAACAAGTTCATTAACCCATATTTTGAGCATGGAGCAGATATAAACTCAGATAATAGCCAGGTCCTCCATCCTTCCACTGATGATAGAGATTTACTGCTGTGGACCAAAATGTACTGTAGATATGATCTGTGCTGTGAGGCTAAAACTGCCATGGATATTGACGTAGAAACTTCTAATGATTTGAAAGTGGTCACTGAGAAATTGTCCGAAGCAGAAGTTGGAAATTAATGAAGTAGCTTTAGCTGAATTTTTGTTGCTCCATCTGGCCAGTTTTAAGATTGATTGATGTGATTCTATAAGAGACAAAGTGCTTGTTTTCTTTGCATTGTAGTGCATTAGGAAGTCAAGAAATTCACTCTATTTCACTGTAGTTATCAATTATTGTGCTTTTTGTCGTTTTTTGTAAATTTTTAATGTTGACAGCTGGTTTCTGTTTTGACACACGTGTACTTGATGCTTTTGTGTTGTACTTTTGTTCCTGGTACCACTTCAAAAATTTAAACATTTTCTGATTTTTCTGATATCTAATTAGTGTACAGTATATTAGTCGGATCCCAACCGTTCTAAAAGGCTATCTCGTTAGCTTTTCGTGTTAAAAGCGATTTCTCGACGGTTATCACCTCTCTAGATGATTCTTAAAACATTTGGACTTCATGGCAAGTTTGAAATACATGCAATGAGGGCGTTTTCGGCCACACCCTTTTTCAGGGTTTCGCGGTCACTCGAATTATTGTATTTCAGCCCAGGAAGGTCTTAAAGACTATTCCGATACACCAAAATGTGCCTAATAGCCACATTTATATACAACTTATGAAGCAACATATACCTTAAAATGCTTTGTTTCGGAAATATGGCCGAAAAACGGTTTTTGGCTTGACGCAGTTCGAAATTTCCGTGATTTTTGGCATTTCCGCCTAGGAAGGTCGTAGAGACTATTCTGATACACCAAAATGTGCCTAATAGCCACATTTATATACAACTTATGAAGCAACATATACCCTAAAAGGCTTATTTTCGGAAATGTGGCTGAAAAACGGATTTTTGTCGAGCAAACAATGACAATATTCACAAATGGGCTATTGGACTGTTAACTAGAAAGGTCTTAAAGACTCATGAGCAACACAGCATTTGTCACAAGATAGCAAGATGTAAGATGACTCACTTTGTGTCCAGAAACACCTACAAAAATTGGAGAATGATCTACTTTATTGGGCATCTCTTTTAATAGGCCAGGCCAGCAGCATATTTGTGTCTTACGAAATGGCAATTTTTCAAAATTACGGTTTCTTTAGTAAAGGTCAATGGGTCAGTTACAAACAGCAAATTGTTCGCAATTGCCGACTCATGCACATCATATACTCAAAAACGCTCACATTAGGAGTCATTAGTAAATAACTAATACATGATTTGTGAAAACTCCAACAATTTTTCCTTGGTACAAATTTAAACAAAATGTGTGACGTGCCAGACCAAAATTCAACTTCAAACTTTTATTTATTCATGCCATGAAACCATAATGAGTTATGTGCCCATCCTTGGAGAACCCGGCGAATGTCCTTGCTGTACGGCAGTGTTAAACAAGGAATTGAAACCGAGGGGTTCCGTTCAGGCCCTTCACACTTTGTTTCTGTCTAGTTCTAATGTACCGTCACAATAGTGACTTTAATATATGTACCAAGAATACCAGACCTAAAATAAATCGGCACTGGATCCGGATCAGATTGTTGCTTGACCGCTGACCAGTACCCCACTTTTTAATTATGATCGATTTCGCTGCTTCGACCAATGTTGGTCTGTAATCCCTGGATTGAGATTTGTTGGCCGCAATTTAATTTAGCTAATTTCTTATAATACCGCAGTGGTCTGGTTCCCACTTCAGAATGACCCCATATTCTTTTTTTCAGTCGCATAGATTTTCCCATCGTTTGATAATGTGTGTCAACTGTCATTCCCTCGTTTTTTAATCAAGTGGTGACTGGCTATTTCTTCTGTTATTACAGCTGTGAGCTGCCTCGAGATCTTATCTGGGGCATGGGCAAAATACTAGAACATTAGAAGATTAGAACTGTAATTCTAGAACTTCAGATTAAGGTTACTTGGCAGAATAGCATTAGCAGGGTTCGAGATTTGACTGAGGGCATTCAGGTAACATACCAGGTTCACATCACCAGTTGAAGTGAATCTTAATTTCGGCATGCAATGCCTTTATGCCTTATAAGTTATAATCTTATAGTAGGATCACGGGGTTTTTATAATAGAAGGTCTCGAGATGCTGATTTAGCTATTTAGGTTTCACATGTGACATTTTTCCAGCTTTGGGTAAAGTGGATTTTAGAGCGGGGAGGGGGTCTAAATGACCAAAATCTGAACGATCTCTTACTTACGGGACACTACGGGACAAGGGACGGATCTCGGGCCTAATAGCTGTTTTTTAATGAGAGGCTGGAGTTTGGACCTAGATGGTCAACGTGAGGATAGCATGAGGATTTAGGATGCTCTGCCTGCCTTTCGTGGGGTCTTGTAACCCCTAAAGCTGGTATATCTTATCTAAATTAACCTTGGTTACATCTCGTGCTGTTTCGAATATATAATTAGATTTATAGGTCCAATATCAAGCAAAAAAGTCTGATGTCATGTACTGATGTTACACTTACATAATCTCCGACGCGAGGATCTCCGAAGTCCGATCTTAAAGTTGGATCTCAGAGCCAAAAAGAGGAACGTAAGCCTTGGTTCCTTTTTTTGAGAGTCAAACAGGAAATTCGGGGTTATCAACTCAAACTCGGATTCGTAGCACAATTAAAAAACCAAAGAATAAAAATCTTAATGAATTTCCCGACATTCTAAAATTAATATCAGTTCGTATTCATATATATATATATAGCCTGACTGACAATTTTCTCGACTGACTGACAATGTTTCTTCTTTTCCCCATTTAGAATACAAAGATTAGTACATTTTAGCTTATGATTAATATTATATTTTTACCTATAGTTTACCTAGATCAATTCAGTGGCCCAAACTCCAGTAGGTTACAAGACTTAAGTTCAATTCGAGGAACACTTTGATTAAGCATGATCCTTGTCTAGTTGGAGTTTTCGCATATCATGCAGTAGTTATCTACTAATCACTCCTAAACTGAGCGTTTTAGAGTCGAATCTCGAACCCTGCCATTCGGCCAAGTAATCTTAATCTGAAGTTCTAGAATTACAGTTCTAATGTTCTAGTACTAATGTATTAGTGCCCTAGATAAGATCTCGAGGCAGCTGTAATAAAAAAGAGCTAGCCAGTAACCACTTGATTAAAAAACGAGGGAATGACACACATTATCATACGATGGGAAAATCTATGCGAACCAAACCACTGCGGTATTACTATTATGGTAAATGAGCTAAATTAAACTGCAGCCAACAGATCTCAATCCAGGGATTACAGACCAATATTGGTCGAGGCAGTGAAGTCAATTATGATTATAAAGTGGGGTACTTATACTGGTCAGTGGTCAAGCGTCAATCTGGCCCGGATCCAGTGCCGATTTATTTTAGGTCCGGTATTCATGGAACATATATCATGGTTTCATGGCATGAATAAATAAAAAGTTTGAAGTTGAATTTTGGTCTGGCACGTCACACATTTTATTTAAATTGGTACCAAGGAAAAATTGTTGGAGTTTTCACAACTCATGTATTAGTTATTTACTAATGACTCCTAAAGTGAGCGTTTTTGAGTATATGCTGTGCATAAGTCGGCAATTGCGAACAATTTGCTGTTTGCAACTGACCCATTGACCTTTACTAAAGAAACCGTAATTTTGAAAAATTGCCATTTCGTAAGACACAAAATATGCTGCTGGCCTGGCCCATTAAAAGAGATGCCCAATAAAGTAGATCATTCTCCAATTTTTGTAGGTGTTTCTGGACACAAAGTGAGTCATCTTACATCTTGCTATCTTGTGACAAATGCTGTGTTGCTCATGAGTCTTTAAGACCTTTCTAGTTAACAGTCCAATAGCCCATTTGTGAATATTGTCATTGTTTGCTCGACAAAAATCCGTTTTTCAGCCACATTTCCGAAAATAAGCCTTTTAGGGTATATGTTGCTTCATAAGTTGTATATAAATGTGGCTATTAGGCACATTTTGGTGTATCGGAATAGTCTTTAAGACCTTCCTGGGCTGAAATACAATAATTCGAGTGACCGCGAAACCCTGAAAAAGGGTGTGGCCGAAAACGCCCTCATTGCATGTATTTCAACCTTGCCATGAAGTCCATATGTTTTAAGAATCATCTAGAGAGGTGATAACCGTCGAGAAATCGCTTTTAACACGAAAAGCTAACGAGATTCCGTTTCGTCTCGGACTATATGATTGTAACCTTTTTTCTTGATGTGATCTTTGCAGACTTGCAATATTTTCGGTGAGAAAAAGGAAGATTGAGACTCAGTCAGAACTGCTTCCCCAAAGTTGTTGTAGACTGCTCTTATGAAACATTAATGTCAGAGAAGGAAATCAACAAATCGCGAATGCAGATATTAAGATGCTAAACAAATTGTTCAAAGAGAAAACGCCTAACTTTGAATCCTTGTGTATCACAAAGTTTGCGGAGCCAGTTCGCTAAAAGTTTGATAGAAAAGATCTTGTCTACTTAACTCCTGACTTATTGGAGCATTTTTAGACAATAACATCAAGCGTTTAAACACTTCCTTGAACTTCTGTGAGACAAATGGTATCGTCACTTAAGTGATTGATAGTTAGAACTTGTTGCTTTCTAATTGGGTTAACAAAGTGACTAGCAATTGACAAACAAGAAGTGCACTTCTTGTTTGTCAATTGCTAGTCACTTTGTTAACCCAATTAGAAAGCAACAAGTTCTAACTATCAATCAAGTTTTTTAAATTCTTATTTTAGTTTATGTACGGTGGAAAGATGCGTTTCACAAGGTTCTACCTCAAAGAAAAGATTATGTACCAGTTGAAGATGATGAATATGAGATTTTGCGATATCCAGTAGATCTAATGGTTAAAAATTGAATTTATGTGATTCTCAAACTCATCCACAATTCATTACTGTTGGGAATTTCAAATAGAATCGGGTCACTTAGTTTTTCGAAATGGCTAATTGTTTCATTTATCAAGATTTATTGAAAGAACTTATCTAGACTTACCTAAAATTAGTTGATTCCGTTCATTAATACTTCTATGTTCGTTTCAAAAACTCGGTGGTTCACACTTCACAGTAATTGTAATCATTTGTGATTTTTAACATCAAATTTCACTCAAAAATGTATTTATTTTCTTCTTATCGCTATTAAATCCTTCTGTTGATAGGCAATAAAGATGGGACAACCGCATCCAAATGGAATGGGTGGTAACAATGGTGATAAGAAGGACGAAAACAAGGTAAAATTTTAACATCGTGAAAGATGACAATTTTTAGGCGTAGCTCGATTTAAAGTCATGTTTCATAGAGTTGCAGATATATCTTCTTGTTATGAACAAGCAGCTTTAGACTTAACTGGCTGGCTCTGATAACATTACACAAAAATACAGCTAGTGTACATATACTAAGGTTTTTTTTTAAAGGGTGCCAAGGGTGCCAGCACCCTTGCCTCAAATTTTTCATCGAAAAATTAAAATTGTCTGAAACGAAAAAAAAAACATATTTTCATTGGGGGGGGGGGGGGGGGGGGGGGGGGGGGGGGGGGGGGGGGGGGGAGGGGGGGGTGGGGGGGGGGGGGGGAGGGGGGGGGGGGAGGTTAGGTTTGAATTGCCCCTTTAATGGGGGTCTGTAATCCCAAAAGTGGGCCTTATATTTGGATTTTTTATTACAGTGAAACTTCTACAGGGGTCAAAAAGGTAAATAGGGGGTCTTTTAAAATTTTTTGAAGGGGCGTTTTATTAAGTGGGGGTTCTACCCTAAATGGGTCTTTGCACTCAAAAAGGGTCTGTAATTGACTGTGGGTCGAAATGAAAAAGGGGGCCTGGATATCGAAGGGGGTCTGTTGTTTTTAAGTGTGGTCTACTCCTTAATTTTGGGCCCCTTGCATCTGAAATGGTTTTGTAGGTTGATTTGGGGGTCTGTAAGATAAAATAGGGGGCCGTTATATTATGGGGTCGTTTTAAAAAAGTGTGTGCTACTCGCTTAATAGGGGTTTTTTTGCTACCTGAAAGGGGTTTTGTAATTTGACTTGGGGCTCTGTAAGATAAAAAAAAAAAATAGTGGGGCCGTTGATATGATAGTGGTCTTTTTGTTATTAATGTGGTCTACTCCTTAATATGGGTCTTTCCCACTCGAAAGGGGCGTAAAAGTTTGGGGGCGAAGATGAAATAGGGGGCCTGTTGATATCGATAGGGGCTGTTTTTTTTAAAGTGTGTGTCTACTCGCTAAAGGGGCCTTTGCATTTTGGAAATGGGTCAAGATTTATTTGTGCGTCTGAAAAGGTTACAAAGTGGGTCTGTTGTTATTGGCGGGGGCCCTGAAAGGTCAAAAGGGGGCCTATTGTTTTTAAGTTTGTGTCTACCGCTTAATAGGGGGTCTTTGCTATTTGAAATGGGGTCTGTGGATTGACTTGTGGTCGTAAGATGAAATAGGGGTCTGTTGAATTGATAGTGGGTCTGTTGTTTCAACGGTTTTCTACTCCCTTTAAATAGGGGTCTTGCTATTTGAAAGGGGTCGTAAATTAAATGAGGTCGAAGAGAAATAGTGGGCCGTAAATTGATAGGGGGGTCTTTTTATTAGTTTTGGTCTACTCCCTTAATAGGGCTTGCTGCCTGAAATAGTCTGGGGGGTTGACTTGGGGGTTTGTGATGAAAAGTGGGTCGGTTGAATTGAAGGGGCCAGGCACTAGACAGGGGGAGGGGGCAGGGGGCGGCAGCCCCCCCTAGAAAAAAGATAACCCCCTAAAAAAAATAACCCCAGAAAAAAGATAACCCCCAGAAAAAGAAACCCCCCTAGCCCCAGGGTCGCCTGGTAACGGGCTGTGTTATGACTGCCATCAAAGATTTAAATTTGGGGTTTTATAAATACTTTCAAACATCCAAGAAAACTTCTAGAAACTCTATAAAAGTAAAATAGGTCCCCTAACCCGAGGAAATGTAAAAATTTAAACGTGGGGCCGAGTAATCGAAAAATACTGAGGGAAATGCAATGCTGTTGTGAAGTTACCAAATTTACGTGAGAACTTGATTCTTTTCAATCCCAGTTTATTGCTGTCCTACAAAATTTCTTTAATGCCAAATGTCGTCTAAAACACCCCGTTTCGCAAAAAATTTTCCGGGGGGCTGCACCCCCTAGCCCCCGCCAAGGGGCCCCGCCCCTGGACCCCGCTGGGGGCTGCGCCCCCAGACCCCTGCCCACAGCTTGCTCGCTTCGCTTGCTGCGCAGCGGATTGGACACGTCGGCTCGCTTCGCTCGCCGACAGCCCCCCTCAAAGAAAAATCCTGGCTACGTCCCTGAGTGGGTCTGTTGTTATTAAGTGTGTGTCTACTCGCTTAATAGTGGTTTCCCTTCGTGTCCAAAAGCATTATATACCTATACCTACATCTTTATACTATAAGTATAAAGCCAGCATTTTAAGGGGTATTTGTAAGTTTTCCACATATGTATGAGTGGACTTTGGAAATCAAATTATCAACCAAAATGTGGTGGAATATTGCATATATGAATAGTACATATAATTATTCTGACGGAAGAAGGTCATCAACTTCAATGTCCCTAAATTATGGAAATGTAATATTTAGTCCAATCTCTAAGATTGTTGATAGGGAAAGTTCAAAAAATTGGATTAAAAAATTTGGTGGTGAACTGTTACTGCGAGCGCAGCTCAACCAGCGAGCCACATTCAATGGAAAAGTGGGTCTTTAACCCAAAAAAGTCAGCACCATTGGGTGGGTCTGTGGCACCCAGAAAAAAAAACCTTAAGTCATATACTAGCTAGTGTAACCGGTGCCTACGACCGGGAATTCACTATCGCGGTTGAATTACAAAAGTATAAACGGTGCAAAAGCATGAACTCGCTCAGTTGAAACCGCATTGGAGTAAATTTAATTCTGATTGCCCAACATGTATCCAATAGTAATACTTAATAGGCAATCTTGCGGCTCCTGGCTCTAATTACCTAATTATATACCAAAGCTGTAATTAGGGGAGCTGTACATGGGGAGTGAGAGAGAGAGAGAGAGAGAGAGAGAGAGAGAGAGAGAGATAGAGAGAGAGATAGAGATAGAGATAGAGATAGAGATAGAGAGATATATATATATAGAGAGAGCGAGAGAGAGAGAGAGAGAGAGAGAGAGAGAGAGAGAGGAGAGAGAGAGAGAGAGAGAGAGAGAGAGAGAGAGAGAGAGAGAGAGAGAGAGAGAGAGAGAGAGAGAGAGAGAGAGAGAGAGAGAGAGAGAGAGAGAGAGAGAGAGAGAGAGAGAGAGAGGAGAGAGAGAGAGAGAGAGAGAGAGAGAGGGAAAAATACTTTAGTAGTACCACATTTGGGGTACAAAACCATCAATTAAACCACTTGCACTTACTACCGGCCGATTTTTAAACAATTTGCTTATTGGCTTCTTCAGAGTTTTGTCGAAACTATATCGAAAACACCAGTACCATTTAACTCTAACCGTTTTCTTAATTTAGCCGCTCGAAAATTCCACACGTACATATAATATATATCAGTATAGATATATATTATAAAACATATATCTTAGGTGATGAGAACTGCTCCGAGAATTAACAAATAAACAAATTACTTTTTATATCAGGAGAAGAAGCCAAAGTACGAGCCCCCAGTACCGTCACGTGTCGGAAAGAAGAAGAAAGTACAGAAGGGCCCAGATGCTGCACACAAGCTACCAGCAATAACACCCCATGCTAAGTGTCGGTTACGGTTGCTCAAGCTAGAGCGTATTAAAGATTTCCTGTTGATGGAGGAGAGAGTTCATCAGAAATCAGGAGGTTCTCAAACCACAGGAGGAGAGAAACGAGGTTCTTAAATTATTTGTGGAATTTCTTTGATTCAATTTTAAATTATCACCCCTAAACGGAGTATAGAAATTATAATTTAGGTAAGGTAAGGTTCATCATTCTTTATTGATTTATATTGTTTATAATTTGTAACATGCTTACCTGGTTTATGCCGTGCCATTTTAGATGTACTGATCTTAAACATTTTGATCTGTTTTAGTTAGTTGATGGTTGTTTCACTTCAGGAGGAGAGAAGCAAGGTAGATGACCTGCGAGGTAGCCCGATGAGTGTTGGAACACTAGAAGAGATAATAGACGATAACCATGCTATTGTCAGCACTAGTGTCGGTTCTGAGCATTACGTTTCTATTTTATCTTTTGTTGATATAGACTCTCTGGAACCTGGATGTACCGTACTTCTCAATCACAAGGTTTGTTGTTAGTTTTAGAGAGCTGGTAATGTAGGATTATGTATAATAGAAGGATTTCTTGGATTTGCTCTGATTACCGAATCCCGATGATCGAGTGATCCTCTTCTTTTGGAATCTTAAAATGTACCTCTATAATGAAGTTACACGGATTAAAATCTGTCAGTTTTATCAATTAATAAACAGTGGATTGTTAGACTTTTAATTCAACCCTAATATTTTTTGAACTGTTTTGAAAGGCCGTGAATCTGTTCAATATTTACTAATGTGAACAAAGATTTGCTGAGAAATTAAGACCAGCTAAAAACAGGTACATGCTGTGGTTGGTGTCCTACAAGACGAAACAGACCCTCTGGTCTCCGTCATGAAATTGGAGAAAGCCCCTAAGGAGACCTATGCTGATGTTGGTGGTTTGGAACAGCAAATTCAGGAGATTAAGGAGTCTGTCGAGCTTCCGTTAACCCATCCTGAATATTACGAAGAAATGGGGATCAGACCCCCTAAAGGAGTCATTTTATACGGAGCTCCTGGAACCGGTTTATTATATTTAATTCTTTAATTTATTAGGTACTTACTTACTAGGATAAAACTCTTTTATTATCAGGTTTTGACGTATTTGAAAAAAATAAATAAGTCTACTTATGGACAGGACCCATCTATTGTATGTTTCAATTAAGTGCACAATGATTTGTTCTAAAACATTGCTCTTGTAACAGGTAAAACACTGTTGGCTAAAGCTGTAGCTAATCAGACTTCTGCAACTTTCCTCCGCGTGGTAGGATCCGAGCTGATACAAAAGTACCTCGGAGACGGCCCCAAACTTGTCAGAGAACTCTTCAGAGTGGCTGAAGATCACGCACCTTCCATAGTATTTATTGACGAGATTGGTAAATGATTTCTTAGTATGCATGTAGACCGATCTTATCTGTTAAAAATTATCTGTTATCTTATCTGTTAAAAATTTTGATCATTGTGTCTTTGCCATACCATGGAAGCTTCGAGTCAAAATCATTGAGACTTGAGTCAAAATCAAATACACCTTGACTGTGCTGTTTTACGTTCATCTTCACTATATTATATTACTAAATGCGGTTGCTTCTAGATGCGGTTGGTACGAAGAGATACGAATCTAACTCTGGGGGAGAACGTGAAATTCAAAGAACGATGTTGGAGTTACTCAATCAATTGGACGGCTTCGATTACCGTGGCGACGTTAAGGTCATCATGGCAACCAACAGGATAGAAACACTTGACCCAGCTTTGATCCGACCAGGTATAATGTTTGAACATAATTTGTTTTCTGAATTGCATGCCAAATTATGTCTGAACAATGAACTATCACATGATGAGTTTTTGGGGCAATTGCGCGCATTCTTGTTCTCAACGCGCGAACGCAAACGCCGAATGAAATTGTATCGAGCAAACTTATCAATGTTTTCAAAATTCACATACCATCTTTTTTACGTCATTAATGCAAAACTCAAAACAGTATTTGGTCGTGCTTGCTCACTAGTAGGAATCCCAGTGACATTTTTAACACGTTATTTATTGGCTTCATTTCTGATGTAAATAAATTTTAGGCAGGATTGACCGGAAGATCGAGTTCCCGTACCCCGACGAGAAGACAAAGCGCAAGATTTTCCAGATCCACACTGGTAAAATGAATCTGGCTGAAGGAGTGAACTTGGAAGATTTGATCATGTCCAAAGATGAACTTTCTGGAGCGGATGTCAAGGTAACTTCTATTACAAAACTTCTATTAAACTCTTCAATTTACTAGCTAATGCTGCTATCACTGCTCAAAGTGAAGCATAGATCAAGGATTTAGGACTTTAAATATTCCCTGTATTATACACAACAATATATTATACACGACAATTTCTGCAAAACTATATTCTCCCCATTAACAGGCGATCTGCACAGAAGCCGGGCTTATGGCACTCAGAGAGCGTAGAATGAGGGTAGCACAGGAAGATTTCATAAAGGCTAAAGAAAACGTGATGTACCGGAAGAACGAGGGAACTCCTGAGGGGCTCTATCTGTAGTTGATGTGTTGGATATTTGTATATAGAAACTTATAGTTGTAAGAGCCAGTTTTTGGCTGAGATACAAAATATGTTGGTTCTTACTTACTTCGTACTTTGTATTGCTGGCCTACTGTTCATTAGAGTGCAACCTTGAGGCTTCAGCTCAGAACTTTTACAAGGTGGAATTCCTTCACAATAGGTGAAATTTACAGCTTCTTAGATAATGACCCGATCTGTACAACTATCATGTTCAAGTTACTACTGCTGGCAGTAATTCGTCAAAATTCCATTAATAAGGGGGGTCAGCTGGTGAAAATATCACTTAGTTTGCGGTTCTCATCTTTGAAGTTGAAAGTGGAATTAAATTGTATTTGTATAAGTTTATAATACCAACGTCTGTCTTTTACTGCACATCACAGAGTGTCAAACTTTTTAAAGACTTTTATTCAGCTTAATTTTAAAGTATTGTGGCGAAAAGAGGAAATTATGTGTTGGCTTCGATCTCGTCGATCGATTATTATTCGCACCACACAAGGTGCCACGTCAGTCACGTTAAATATTTGTCTATATTTGACGATACTCTTCTTTTTGTAAGGTATGGTGTAGAATGTAGAAGCGTTTCGAAACCAAAATATTTGACCGCTCTTTTCGCCCACGCTTTTATTTGCCCCTCTATGAAACTGATCATAAGCTCAACTTGTAACTTTACTCTCTCGTTTAGCCATGATGTGCTACAACTATACACAGCGCCAGCTCAAATAGGCGGATCTTGCTCTAAAGTGCAAGCAGCGCAATACAAAGACAGATTAAACTTGCAGGTATGCAAGTGTCATGTCGATTGCAACCTTGTAACAGGGGCAGGTAAGTTTTTAACTTATCTCTTTTGGTTTTCAGCTTAACAGATGGTGCAGGTTCTCTTGTTTATTTTTGTGAACTAAATCTAAGAAACAGCATTTTTCCAACAAATAGTTATTAAAATAAACCAAAATATTCGTAGATAACTAGTACGATTATAACCTCGAGTTTAGAAATGTTGTCTCTTATACCTAATTATCACGTCTGTATAGGTCATTAACATTATTATTCAATGGAATAAAATAAAAATCGAAAAAGGAAATGCAAGTGTGCCCAATATTAATTTGGTAGGTAGAAACTTGCCTAATTGAAAATCAGTATAGTAGTCTCTCGTAAAACTAAATTTCGTTGCTAAATTGTCGCACTAATATTGCACGACTTTCATGTTAAAAGAAAACACTTTAATATTATTCAGAAACGTACAAGAAGTGAGTATGTGCTTATTCGACCATGCATATTAATTTCTGCTAATTTAAAGATATTAAGTTAACCTTGTCTCTTGTTCATCTCGCAAGGGTAAGGGGAAATTGGGATTAGTGAAGTTACTATAGTTCATAAGAGCAAAGTCTGCTCTATAAATAGTGTATAGTTTGTCGATGGTCTCTTGTTCGATCTCTGAAAACCATTCCTTTGCAAGAAGGGAAGAACTTTGAAGACGTGGGTCTGATGCTTTATCATACGATCCCAAGAGTGATATATCTGGGGTGTTGATTTTGCCCCAAATATTTTTAATGAGAGCTCCAGAAAACTCAAGTGGAATAATGTCGTCATATTTTACTCTAGGTATACATAACGTATTCCACTGCGGTGCGAAATGAGCGTCAAGAGATCCTCCTCGATGTTGTCGAAGGACCAGCCACCTAACAAACTCAGGGAACGTCGGATACAAGTCCTTGGTCAGATCGGGGTCAGTTATACCTCGCATTGTTGCGACAATTTGCATGCCAATTCCACGAAAGGATCCTCCTTGAGTTATCTCACTTGATACTTTATCTCGAAAACCCGAAACCATTCTGGTCCATGGATTGCGAACAACTGCAAAACTATACGCTTTTTCAAAGACAGTATTATTGTAAATAGTATTGATTCTTTTACCCATGGCCATCCTGTATCGACTGGACAACGAACCATGCACTTTCCTGACCTTTGTTGGATCTGTTTGGTTTTTTATGTCCCCCTCGGCCCTCAGAAGAGCTTCTATCCAGTTGGAGCACCCCGTTTTAGGCACTCCCGTGAATATTGTATTTATCTTAGGGAAGTAATAACTACGGAATCCACAGGTGTTCCAACGGTTTGTGGAATTGTATTCCAAACCCCTTATTTCTAATGATTTCAAAACTTGCTTCTGTACCCATTGTGGAGAGGGTGGCGTTAAAAGATAATCCTCTGATTTCGAGTCTTCAGACACTTCAGAATCAACGCTATTCACAGTGTTATCTTTGCTGGAGGAGTAACTAGTTTCATCAAAATCTAAATCTGATTCGGGACTCTGCGAGGAGTTTTCCTCAGTAATTGATATCCTGGACTCTACATACACCGGCCCAAACCCAATTCCTTTATAATCGACTACAGTGTAAACAAGAAGAAGTATCGTTAGGATCAGTGCACATTTGAGAATTATTCTAGTCTTCTTATTGTCCGCACCATGTGTATCCATTATATGATACTTTAGCTTTTCTCGGGCCTATCTTCGCTGTAATAATAGATAATAAGAAGGATTAGAAAACAGTCTGCAGTGAACCTTGGCAAATTAATAACTTGTCAAGCTTGATCGCAATACCTCAACAGATTGAGATTGAGTCACTTTAGTTTAGTCCAGTTGATTTAGTCACGTTGGTCGCTACTCTCATATACACACAATGTGTTGGAATTTTATATTGTAAACTGAAAATCGATTTCAGTACACGATTAAAAATCGTCCGCGTAATACAATTATTTATTATTCATATTCGCTGACCTTTAACCAGCGATAAATTCGGCTAGCAACAATATTTTTCAATGGGATCAAAAAGCAGCTGAAAGATACTACTCCGGGGGGGGGGGGGGGGGGGGGGGGGGGGGGGGGCAACGCCCTAAAAGGCCCTAGACGCATCGAAAATCCGAAAAGGGCCCTAGAAATCGGGTCTTTTTGGGGCCTTTTGACCCTGACCACTATTTGATAGTGTTTATGGACCATAATCTCCATGTAAATACACTCAAATAAACATAAAAGTACTGTGCAAGTAGTCAGATAATATCATTAAAGCACTTAGCATATATCAAACTTGATGAAATTGAAGTTAATTCTAGGGCCCCAAAAAGCCCCCCCCCCCCCCCCCCCCCATATCTAGTGATATATAGGGGGGTGTCACGTCCGTCTATGTCCGCTTGTCTCATAGAATCCAAGGACAGGACATAGGCGGACATAGACGGACATAGACGGACTTTGGTGGACATAGACGGACATACCATGTATACGGACTTTTTCCAAGTCAAAAATTTCAAACTTTTCCTGGGAACTATTTCAGTTCATGTTTTAAGCTACCCTGATCATTATGAGCCAAACATTTTTTTTTCGGTTTCAAAGTCCGGCCGCACCTACCCGGCCCTTCGATATACAATTTTGGAATCGACGATTCCCCTTTGTTATGCGATCTCGGAAAGCAAGCTTCCCCTTTGTAACACGAGCTCGGAAACTATTTCTATTCATGTTTTAAGCTACCCTGATCATTATGAGCCAAAAATATTTTCGGTTTTCAAAGTCCGCACCTACCGTTCGATATACAATTTAGGACTCGAGGGTTCCCCTTTGTTATGCGATCTCAAAAGGCATGCCTCCCCTTTGTAACACGAGCTCTGCCACCAATGTCCGCGCTAATGTCCACCAATGTCCGTATGTGTCCACCAATGTCCGTCCGAGTCCGCAAATGTCCGTCCGAGTCCGCCAATGTCCGTCCGAGTCCGCCAATGTCCCACAAAACACGTCCGTTGTCTCATAAAATCCAAAAAGGACAGGACATAGGCGGACATAGACGGACGTGACACCCCCCCCCCCCCCATACAATATATTGCTATATAATACATAGCAATATTTGATATTTACAGTAAAATTAGTTTCGTTAATATCATTAAAGTATCTGGCATATATATTAGACTTGATAAAACTGAAGTTAATTCTAGGGCCCTAAAAGGCCCTAGACGCATCGAAAATCTAAAAAGGGCCCTAGAAATCAGGGTCTTTTAGGGCGTTGCCCCCCCCCCCCCCCCCCCTACTCCGTTCTAATGGAAACGACTAAAAAAGGCGATTTCGAGAAAATGTTCATGAATACCCTCCGCCCCTTAATTTCGGAGGGTTATTATAGGTCACACATAGTTTCAATGTCAGGTTAAGATCACAACTGGGCTCCTTAAAGAGCCCAACTAAAAAGGACAAAAGCTAAAACATAGAAGAAATTTAAACTTACAAAAGGTTTGTTACAATATAGCAATGACGAGTATCTATTATATTATAAACGACTCAATTGAACGTTGGTGTAGAAAATAGTGTGAAATAGTTGTGGATGTTAAATAGACAGTATTTCATGATGTATCATGTATACATGTCAAAACAAAGGGTCTGTACGTTGTGGTTAAAGCAGCTTTATGAGGAGATATAGTTTCATTCCCCGACGCAAGAGTGGTCCAATGAGCCAATACTAGCTATACTAATAATAGTTAGCTATGTGATAAAAACAGCTTTAAAAATATAATGATTTACGATATATTGCTTAATTTTAACCATCTAATTCTACTACTTCACATGATACGAAGTACATTTACAAGATAAAGCTCCGTGTGAGAGGTGTGATCGAATTACCTACTCACTGAGCTTCTATGAGGCACTTTAATTGCCGACGTTACCTTAATCATTGAGTTAATCATTAATTGCACGACTGCAGATATAATATTATATCTAACACTGCACACACGAGTAGGTTGATCATTGATGATAAGGATTGACCAAATAAAACAGTTCATAGTAGTTTAGTTGACCGACACATCTTAGAGGGGGTTTGGAAAAACTTAATCAAGTATAGTTTACAATGCAGGAAGTTGGTCTAAAATGGTCAAAATATGGCATACGTAATATGTGAGCTATCCCTTGATAAATGAACGTTGTTCCTAAAACCTGTTTTGGACATATTTACTTTTAACGAGATTTTAGTGGGCCGATGGCGCTCACCCGACTGATTTTAACAGTTGCTCAACAGAGTTCAATTCACTGAAATATTAATATTAATGAAATTTGTGAAATGAATCATAAAAATGTTGGCCAAATTTCAGGTATTTTGCGAGCAGGAAATAATTTTAACGACCCTGTTTAGCAATGAAATGCCAGTCAAGTGTGAATCAGACGCAAGTGCGGTGCGGTTGTTGAAGGAGAAGGACCCAGACCAGCTGTATGGCGCGGTGAGACACATCAAGAACAGGTAATTAATAAATTAAATAGCCTTTGCAACTGTTTGTCGATTGGGCGACATCTGTCCGACAGCCGAATTAGCGGTTTGTCGGACAGGAGTCGTCTGTCGACATCTGTCGGACTTTCGGATCACATTTGTAATTTCGGATCACATGTGTATTTCACAAGCTCACGGGTAATCTTGTGACGTTTCTCCCACTGTCCTAATGCTGATTTGATCCATTGAGATCTGATCCATCGATACGTGATAGTCTATTTGAGGACAGGATCGTGCTACCCGTAAACTAACAAGCTGCCGATCACATCACAGCCTACAGTACATACAGGGTGGGCCATAAAACACTACCCATCTTTATCTCTTAAAATTTTTACAGATCGCTGAGATCTTGATAATTATTTTAAAAACAAAAAGTGGCATAACTTATGTTCTAATAAATATTTTTGCTTCTAAATTTCACAGAATGTTAATAACAAGTAGCTAAACCTTTGTGGCAAGTTTTGTGTGATTGCGAGCTTCACTGAGCATATTTGACCAATTTAGCCCCTGAGCGAGCTAGCTTGAATTTCTCACCCAGAACTTTTTACATTGGTTAAAAGAAACCACAAAAAATCCTGGGTAAAAAAATCAAAAAACCAGCGATTTATTCACGTTTTATCAATTCTATTCACCACGATCCATCGCACATCCCATTCTCTCTATATTTTAACTGATAAGGACTATCACAGATGATCCTTCCTGCTTGTTTATATCGTTCTTCTCACATGGAATGTGCGATGATATGAATAGATATGAATAGAATTGGTAAAACATAAATAAATCGGTGGTTTTTAAATTTTTTTACCCAGGATTTTTTTGGTGGTTCCTATTAACCAATGTAAGCATTTCTGGGTGAGAAATTAAAGCTAGCACGCTCAGGAGCTAACTTTGTCAGACAAGCTCAGACTCACACAAAACTTGGCACGAAGTTGTGTCTAATTATGATTGACATTCTCTAAAAATTTGAAGCAAAAATATTAATCAGAACGTAAGTTATGGCGCTTTTCCATTCTGAAATAAAATAATTATCAAGATCTCAGCGAGCTGTAACAATTTTAAGAGATAAGGATGAACTTATGTTCTAATAAATATTTTTGCTTCTAAATTTCACAGAATGTTAATAACAAGTAGCTAGACCTTTGTGGCAAGTTTTGTGTGATTGCGAGCTTCACTGAGCTTATTTGACCAATTTAGCCCCTGAGCGAGCTAGCTTGAATTTCTCACCCAGAACTTTTTACATTGGTTAAAAGAAACCACAAAAAAAATCCTGGGTAAAAAAATCAAAAAACCAGCGATTTATTCACGTTTTATCAATTCTATTCACCACGATCCATCGCACATCCCATTCTCTCTATATTTTAACTGATAAGGACTATCACAGATGATCCTTCCTGCTTGTTTATATCGTTCTTCTCACATGGAATGTGCGATGATATGAATAGATATGAATAGAATTGGTAAAACATAAATAAATCGGTGGTTTTTTAATTTTTTTACCCAGGATTTTTTTGGTGGTTCCTATTAACCAATGTAAGCATTTCTGGGTGAGAAATTAAAGCTAGCACGCTCAGGAGCTAACTTTGTCAGACAAGCTCAGACTCACACAAAACTTGGCACGAAGTTGTGTCTAATTATGATTGACATTCTCTAAAAATTTGAAGCAAAAATATTAATCAGAACGTAAGTTATGGCGCTTTTCCATTCTGAAATAAAATAATTATCAAGATCTCAGCGAGCTGTAACAATTTTAAGAGATAAGGATGGGTAGTGTTTTATGGCCCACCCTGTATAATAGGGGAGCGTTATGGAGATCAGTTATCGCAATCCACAATGGCAAAAAATCTTCAGTTTACCCCTCGACGTAGATTTGTTGCTACATCGACCGTGTCCTGAACCAATTTATATAACATTTAAACTATTGTCCAAATTATCGACATCAAATGAAAATAAACTATGGTAGAGATCAGATCTCGAATTGGAAATGTTACGTATACAAATTAGCTAGTAACAGCTCAGATCATGTCTCGTAAATGTGTCGTATTGAAATTAGATCACAATTTCGGACAGATGTCGTTTTTTTCTGGCAAAAAACTTTTTTTAAAGCCATGTCTCTCCTATGATAACTACACCTTTACAGGGTTATTGGGAGTCGGACCCGGAAACAGGAGTATCTAGATGATGGCATCCTGCCAGAACTTATTGGTTAGTTGAATTAGATTTAGACATTTAAAATATGGTATACTTTGTTGTATTTAATGCTTTCACTGATCGATGATTTTGTATTGAAGTGAAAATAATTATTTAAGGTTAAATTTGAGAATAGAAGTTATCCAACAAAAACTATTTAATAAATTCCTAAACAAGCTCGATCTGCGAATGCTGCTAAATATTTCAAATAACTAAGATTCATCACATCAATCGTTGGATTGCATTATTAATGTACGAGGGAGATTTCATGAGAAAGTATAAACACAGGTTAGTAAATTAATGACGGCTGTTCAACAAAACGTACACAGGTGTAAGTCTGCTGGTGGCTAGAACGTTACCTGCCAAGTTGCAAATGTGTAATGCTAATCAGAATTAGTTATAATCGCACACACTGGGGCAACTTCACATGTGCACACCCTCATGAGTTCTGGACGCCACGTTATAAAATGTTATGTTTTGCGTTATAATTTGACCAATGATTTGTAACAGTCTATATACTGCTTCTCACACCGAATAGTTAGGATCGTAAAGCCTAGTTATTAGACTCTAATTTAGAGGACTCTAATATAGAGGACACCTGATGCGGTTTCAAGGACTGAAAGTCTATCATACCTATTCTGAGTGTGTCCTACGTCCCTCTCTTAGTGATATTTGATATTTGTCATTGAACTTCATTGTATTCGAGCACTGAGGCGTTTCCAATTCTCGTATCCACCCTTGCTTCTGAGTATCCCATGTTATTCTTCCTCGCATTTATCGCCACTTTGGAGTCAGACTGGTGCTGAACACGATTCCTTCTCACCAAACTAACGGTAAACAGCTTAAAACTCTTATTAGTGAGAAAGTAGATAGGGGGGTTGGCCCAGGAGGACATGAACATGACAAAGGTGACGAAGCGTACAGTAGAGGGGTGACTGTCCCACGTGTTGCCGTGCACCATGTAGTAGATAAAGTAGGGGAGCATGGGGAGGAGGAAGGATAGTGTTACCATGACAACTATCACTATGTTCATCTTGTTGACTGTAGTGTTTGTTTTCTTGAGAGCGTAGCCGACTAGAAATGTGTTTACAACGCAGAGTGAAAGACATGGTAGAGCGTTGAGGAACCCTGATAAGAAGTAGCCTACACTGTGGTGCCAGCCTCTAGATTTCGAAGAGAAGATTGACCAGCACATACATTGGGAGGTCGAGAATTCAACTACCAGATACCTCTCAATACAAGCTCCGTAGTAGGACCAAACTGGAATAATCATTGATCCAACAACGGTCAGCACTGAAACTGAAACTCGCTGTGTTCTGGAGCTGTTTAAGATACGCAGTGGAAACAGACACCTCAACATCTTGTTTAGAGCTAAAGCGTTTATCAGAACCATGTTAGCTACACAGCCCATGTACTTGTAGACGAACATTATCTCACAAAACGTGTCCCCCAGCACCCACGTGTTGTTCCAATACAGAGATATGATCACTGGCAACAAGATAAGGATAGTGTTTGCCAGATCTGAGACCGCCAAGTTCTGTATGATCCAGACGGAGAGTTTGTCCAGCTTGATGGCTCGGTGTTGAGTTGTGGAGTAGAGGACGAAGCTGTTTCCAGTCAGTCCCAGGATTAGAGACACGTGACACCACACGTGGGAGATTATCCTCTCCGGCGTCATTCCTGGGAGGTAATTGAGCGAAATAAGAAACTGATTACAAAATAGTCTTATGACGGGAAACTGATGAATATAAACTACCATGATCAAAAATTGGAGTGTCATAGTGCAATCCCAGCACATCGTAAATTTTTATAGACTGAATAACTGGACAGAAATTGAAAAGACGTGAGAATTTAAGGGATATGACAAACTGGATATGTCAAACTGGAACCGATGTAAGGTAAGGTTTTAAAGGCTTTACCTTAAATGCTCCAGCAATTCTCTCAACGAGAAACGTCTAACAGTAATGGAAATGTGCCAGGTCGTCCACCAATACTTCCGCTACAGATTACCATGAACCTTCCCTAGTATTTATCCAGAACACCTGGCCGGATATTAAAACTGTGCTCGTGCAGGAAATAGTGGAACCAACGTCAAACCCTGTCTCATAATGCACGTGCGAAGAAAGTTTACTATCTAACAGTCACATATTATAACAAGTAATAACTAAGAACTTATCTAAGCGTTATTCGAGTATGTGCCGTTTAGTGAAGGTACATACGTTCAGTGAAGCTGTCAATTGGACTTGTAAGGGAACTAGGAGAGCGGCATCATGTCACATTATAAACCAGGTGTCCTCAAATAGTCCCTGTATTCTGGCCGTTAGACAAAGCGTGGTCTCTAACACAGGCCACTAAAGGTTAGGTCGTGTTAACTGGCATGTTTAGCATACAGTGCAGATGGACTTGTTTGCGAGCTCTAACAATCTGAATATTGGTTAGAAGTAGTTCAATATATAGCTGTGTTATCTATTAGACGTGTAGACTGTAGAGGAGTTAAAGTTCTGCACTTCGTTACTGTACATATAATTATCCTGATCCTGTAACCATGGCAATAGCAGAAAGTCTTGGAAGTTTAAGATTCAAATAGCATTCACATGCATTTAGGGGAATTTTCAATTTTTAGAACTATCGTAAGAAACAGAAGTGTTTAATTATTTGAAACTTGTCATCTCAGGTGTGATAAAGCTGCACTCTACACCAATCTCAGTGGAAGCAGCCTACATTTGTAACTCTCTAGCTCATGGTGGGAGACAATACGTTGAGCACCTCATCTCATCCGGTCTGGTGGAAACTCTAATTGATGGTATCTTCCTGGAGGAACAGAAGTTGGTGGAGGCCTGTCTCCGAACCATCAGGACCATCTACCAGTACCCCAACTTAGAATGTCAGAACCTCTGGGAGATAGATAACTTCATTCCCAGGCTGATAGATCTGATGATGACGTCAGAGGTAGCGGGCCAGTGTTGTGCTATGATTATTGGGAGTGTGTGTAAGTCTAGGGAGCAACAAGCCATCCTCTTTACAACCCCCATCCTCAACAACATCAACTCTCTCCTCTTAACAGAGTCCACTCAGTCTAACCTGGCTGGCTTGTTTTGTCTATCAGAGCTGTCTTATGACAATCACTTTGTGGCACAGGAGGTAGCAGGTAATGAGAAACTGGTGAAGAGACTGTTCAAGCTTATGAGAAGAGATAAGTATATTCTGGTGCAGTATAACGCGGCCAAGTGTCTTACCAACCTCTTCAGATTGGGAGCTATCAACGAGGAGAGATCTAAAACTCAGATTCTGGACACTATAGTGTACCTCTGTCTTTCAGAGGATATCGCCATCAAGCACATCGGAGCTAATCTCCTTCATGAACTGATCGAACAGAATTCTGAGTTACAGCTGTGGGCTTCCTACTCACAACATCTGATGAGGGGACTCAGCAGGTTCTTCATCGCCAGCAAGGATCCTGAGTTTTCTCCTCGACTGAGAGCTGCTGCTTTTAAAGCGTTTGCAGCGTTGGGTGAGACGCAGGAGGACATCAGAAAGAGCATCATTGAGGGGGAGAATATTATATCCCATCTGAAGTTTGGTTTACAAGACGACAGTCTGGAGGTAGGATCATGTGAACTGTTTATAATTTTAGTAATGTGCATAAGCGAGCTCCGAAAACATTTTTGTTCCATGATTCCCTTTACCATATATACCTCTTAAGCTCTTATATAGTTATGATTGTTTAAATAACGATATTAGTTTAACAACTTTAACTGATAAATATAATGGTTCAGGTACAAGTAGCAGCGCTGTCCTGTCTTCACTCCTTGTCACGATCTGTAAAACAGCTGAGGACCAACCTACTGGACGCAGAAGTGTGGCAACCACTCCTCAAACTCATTAAGACTGACGATGATGAGCTCGTCAGGACTTCCTCTAGAACCCTCTGTAACCTCCTACTTGATTTCTCACCCAGCAAGGTAAGACTAAATAGAACCTGTTATACATATTACTATTAGCCCTAAATTTTCAGAGTATGACAATTTGCAAATTTGTTCTGTCCCTCTACTCATTTTCCCTCTACTCATTTTCCTCCTGGTTCCTCCAATGTTATGATATGTCAACATAATACTTAACTCCTTAGGAGATCCTGTTGGAACAAGAAGGAACAGTGGAGCTGCTCTCAAAGCTGGTCCTTAACTCCGACGATGAAGTTAAACTGAACGGGGTGTGGGCTCTGATGAACATCACTTACAAAGCTAACTCTGATCTCCGATCTAAAATCCTCTCGCACGTCAGTCAAATTACAGACAAATAATGTTTCACTGAGCATAACATTCGCATTCTCAATACCCAAAAACTGATTCCAGGAATTCCACTGAACTATTCCCTCCACTTTAGTTTGGGGTTCTCCAAATACTGGAGACAGTTGAGGACGACTGTCCGAAATTAAAGATAAAGGCACTTGGTTTACTCCGAAATATACTCTGTGACCCAGATGAAGTTGACAGGTAATTTACTTCTCTACTTCTATTTGCTACACTTTATTTTTTAACTTTATCTGGTGATCGAACCCTATATGTTGATCATGCGAACTTATGAAGCGACTTCTACACTATACCACGTGACACTACCTCACTATAACACGTGACACTACCTCACTATAACACGTGACACTACCTCACTATAACATTTGACACTACCCCACTATAACACGTGACACTACCTCACTATAACACGTGACACTAACCCACTATAACACGTGATAATACCCCACTATAACACGTGACACTACCTCACTATAACACGTGACACTACCTCACTATAACACGTGACACTACCTCACTATAACACGTGACACTACCTCACTATAACACGTGACACTACCTCACTATAACACGTGACACTACCTCACTATAACACGTGACACTAACCCACTATAACACGTGATAATACCCCACTATAACACGTGACACTACCTCACTATAACACGTGACACTACCTCACTATAACACGTGACACTACCTCACTATAACACGTGACACTACCTCACTATAACACGTGACACTACCTCACTATAACACGTGACACTACCTCACTATAACACGTGACACTACCTCACTATAACACGTGACACTACCCCACTATAACAGTGACACTAGCCCACTATAACGCGTGACACTACCCCACTATAACACGTGACACTACCTCACTAGTCACTATAACATGTGACACTACCTCACTATAACACGTGATAATACCCCACTATAACGCGTGACACTACCCCACTATAACACGTGACACTACCCCACTATAACACGTGACACTACCTCACTATAACACGTGACACTACCTCACTATAACACGTGACACTACCCCACTATAACACGTGACACTACCCCACTATAACACGTGACACTACCTCACTATAACACGTGACACTACCCCACTATAACACGTGACACTACCTCACTATAACACGTGACACTACCTCACTATAACACGTGACACTACCTCACTATAACACGTGACACAGCTGACACTACCTCTATAACACGTGACACTACCCCACTATAACACGTGACACTACCTCACTTTTACACGTGACACTACCCCACAGGATAATGACATCGCACGGGAGAGAAGTTCTGAAGACACTTGTCCCAATCCTGACTAACAGTGACAAGTGGAGTGATGAGGAGCAGGAACAAGTTCTGTGTGTATTCATCAACATCGCCACCGGGCACATTGCCAAGGATCTCCTGACAGAGAGAGACGATCTTATGCTCTGTCTCTTGAGGTTCCTTTCTCATCTCAACAGCCAGTTACAGGTCTGTGAACTATATAGATATAATGTTATTACAAGCGTGTTTATTTCTCCTTTCAGCAAAGTGCTCAACTAAGATTGCTCAACTGAAGATTGTTGTTCACACATCCACATGAAACTTTAAGTTGGACGATAACATCGTTTACTTTGTCACGCTGATAGCTATATTATTATGTTAATTAAAATATTTTACATCTAATTATTTTTATTGTTTTAACATTGTTCTCCACGGTCTGATTCTAACAATATTTCATTTGCTGACCGAATGTTAATCTAGATAGCAGCAACTACGTGTATCACACATCTAGTAAAGAGCGAAGACAGTGGATGTCTGGACCGGCAGAACAAGCTCAAGGAAATGGGCCACTTCAAGGAGCTGCAGTCACTGCTGGGAGCCCGACCAGAGGTAGCAGACAGAGCCAAGATAGCTCTGCAGTACTTCCAATAGTCACGTGATGTGACGTCATCACGATGACGTCATCCTGAGATCAACCACAGTTTGTGAAAGAGAGAAATCAGATAGGAGAGTCAGAGATTTAGAGTTGCGCTGTTGGGAGAATAGTAAGACAGACTCAACAATCAGATACCATTACATGGCTTGATTAATTGAAAACTGATACTTGTATAAGATAAGTCCGAAACTTGTTGTTTATAATCACTAAACCGGTTGTTTATAATCTCTAAACCGGTTGTTTATAATCATTAAACGGAACCAATTGAGATTGAAGACTGTGATTTGTGTGGTTTTAGAGTGGAGTACCGCGAAAGTGTTTCAGTTAATGAACTTGAATGTTAAGTTGTTTTTTTCTTCAGTTTAATGATAAGTAGCTTTTAGACTGGGTTTGTTTTAAAACATTTTGTATGATGGTTTGTTTCCATGGTTACACAAATCGTAACTCAAGCAATGTTACTTACACGATGTAACAGGACTCGTAACTCATGCTATGCAAAATTCACTAATATAAGACATTTAGGGACTTTGAAGTCTCGCACAGATTATGATTAATCAAATACAGTACAATCTGATTTTCTTCATTCAGCCTTTTTCTTGAAACTTTTAAATCTGCCTTATGTTTATTCAAACACTCTGTTGTTTGAAACAGACAATTTTTCTTACCTCCTATTCCTTATTATATGGTCAAATTGATTGAAAGATGTTCGATTTCGTAAATTGCTTTCATGTTCAGATGTACCTAACAACTTCATGATTACGTAGCTCTTTGTTTAGACGCCTTTTCTGAGTTTACATTTTATTTATTAGTGAATTTCTATGTGAAGTTTTGTGATGATGGTTTTTTGAAAATATGTTTGAACCCACAAAAACTGTAGTGTCGACACCATTCTCGCCCAAATACCTCGGGGAAAAATTCTAACTCTAATTGGAAATTCACAATCTACATTGGACCCGACCATTAGGGGTCGTTCACATATTACGTAATCACTTTTTGGACAATTTGTAACCCCCTCCCTCCTCCGTAATCAGTTTTACACGTATATCTATTGTGTCAAAATTACACTAGCGTAATCATTTGGGGAACCCCCGGCCCCTCGGCTGATTACGTTATATGTGGACGACCCGTATGAGCAGTCAATGTCTCAATGTGGCAGTCAAACTTTTCCTAAATGTCTCCTACAGTTCTTGATATGACATGAAGTGTCTCTCCTCCTGTCTTGGACCTGGCAAGTCGTACAGGATAAACGGCAAGAAGTTTACCGAAGTAAAAACTATCGGGGAAGGCGGTACGTTTACTCTCAGTCTAACCTGGCTGGCTTGTTTTGTCTATCAGAGCTGTCTTATGACAATCACTTTGTGGCACAGGAGGTAGCAGGTAATGAGAAACTGGTGAAGAGACTGTTCAAGCTTATGAGAAGAGATAAGTATATTCTGGTGCAGTATAACGCGGCCAAGTGTCTTACCAACCTCTTCAGATTGGGAGCTATCAACGAGGAGAGATCTAAAACTCAGATTCTGGACACTATAGTGTACCTCTGTCTTTCAGAGGATATCGCCATCAAGCACATCGGAGCTAATCTCCTTCATGAACTGATCGAACAGAATTCTGAGTTACAGCTGTGGGCTTCCTACTCACAACATCTGATGAGGGGACTCAGCAGGTTCTTCATCGCCAGCAAGGATCCTGAGTTTTCTCCTCGACTGAGAGCTGCTGCTTTTAAAGCGTTTGCAGCGTTGGGTGAGACGCAGGAGGACATCAGAAAGAGCATCATTGAGGGGGAGAATATTATATCCCATCTGAAGTTTGGTTTACAAGACGACAGTCTGGAGGTAGGATCATGTGAACTGTTTATAATTTTAGTAATGTGCATAAGCGAGCTCCGAAAACATTTTTGTTCCATGATTCCCTTTACCATATATACCTCTTAAGCTCTTATATAGTTATGATTGTTTAAATAACGATATTAGTTTAACAACTTTAACTGATAAATATAATGGTTCAGGTACAAGTAGCAGCGCTGTCCTGTCTTCACTCCTTGTCACGATCTGTAAAACAGCTGAGGACCAACCTACTGGACGCAGAAGTGTGGCAACCACTCCTCAAACTCATTAAGACTGACGATGATGAGCTCGTCAGGACTTCCTCTAGAACCCTCTGTAACCTCCTACTTGATTTCTCACCCAGCAAGGTAAGACTAAATAGAACCTGTTATACATATTACTATTAGCCCTAAATTTTCAGAGTATGACAATTTGCAAATTTGTTCTGTCCCTCTACTCATTTTCCCTCTACTCATTTTCCTCCTGGTTCCTCCAATGTTATGATATGTCAACATAATACTTAACTCCTTAGGAGATCCTGTTGGAACAAGAAGGAACAGTGGAGCTGCTCTCAAAGCTGGTCCTTAACTCCGACGATGAAGTTAAACTGAACGGGGTGTGGGCTCTGATGAACATCACTTACAAAGCTAACTCTGATCTCCGATCTAAAATCCTCTCGCACGTCAGTCAAATTACAGACAAATAATGTTTCACTGAGCATAACATTCGCATTCTCAATACCCAAAAACTGATTCCAGGAATTCCACTGAACTATTCCCTCCACTTTAGTTTGGGGTTCTCCAAATACTGGAGACAGTTGAGGACGACTGTCCGAAATTAAAGATAAAGGCACTTGGTTTACTCCGAAATATACTCTGTGACCCAGATGAAGTTGACAGGTAATTTACTTCTCTACTTCTATTTGCTACACTTTATTTTTTAACTTTATCTGGTGATCGAACCCTATATGTTGATCATGCGAACTTATGAAGCGACTTCTACACTATACCACGTGACACTACCTCACTATAACACGTGACACTACCTCACTATAACACGTGACACTACCTCACTATAACATGTGACACTACCTCACTATAACACGTGACACTACCCCACTATAACACGTGACACTACCTCACTATAACACGTGACACTACCTCACTATAACACGTGACACTACCTCACTATAACACGTGACACTAGCCCACTATAACACGTGACACTAACCCACTATAACACGTGACACTAACCCACTATAACACGTGATAATACCCCACTATAACACGTGACACTACCTCACTATAACACGTGACACTACCTCACTATAACACGTGACACTACCTCACTATAACACGTGACACTACCTCACTATAACACGTGACACTACCCCACTATAACAGTGACACTAGCCCACTATAACGCGTGACACTACCCCACTATAACACGTGACACTACCTCACTAGTCACTATAACATGTGACACTACCTCACTATAACACGTGATAATACCCCACTATAACGCGTGACACTACCCCACTATAACACGTGACACTACCCCACTATAACACGTGACACTACCTCACTATAACACGTGACACTACCTCACTATAACACGTGACACTACCTCACTATAACACGTGACACTACCCCACTATAACACGTGACACTACCTCACTATAACACGTGACACTACCTCACTATAACACGTGACACAGCTGACACTACCTCTATAACACGTGACACTACCCCACTATAACACGTGACACTACCTCACTTTTACACGTGACACTACCCCACAGGATAATGACATCGCACGGGAGAGAAGTTCTGAAGACACTTGTCCCAATCCTGACTAACAGTGACAAGTGGAGTGATGAGGAGCAGGAACAAGTTCTGTGTGTATTCATCAACATCGCCACCGGGCACATTGCCAAGGATCTCCTGACAGAGAGAGACGATCTTATGCTCTGTCTCTTGAGGTTCCTTTCTCATCTCAACAGCCAGTTACAGGTCTGTGAACTATATAGATATAATGTTATTACAAGCGTGTTTATTTCTCCTTTCAGCAAAGTGCTCAACTAAGATTGCTCAACTGAAGATTGTTGTTCACACATCCACATGAAACTTTAAGTTGGACGATAACATCGTTTACTTTGTCACGCTGATAGCTATATTATTATGTTAATTAAAATATTTTACATCTAATTATTTTTATTGTTTTAACATTGTTCTCCACGGTCTGATTCTAACAATATTTCATTTGCTGACCGAATGTTAATCTAGATAGCAGCAACTACGTGTATCACACATCTAGTAAAGAGCGAAGACAGTGGATGTCTGGACCGGCAGAACAAGCTCAAGGAAATGGGCCACTTCAAGGAGCTGCAGTCACTGCTGGGAGCCCGACCAGAGGTAGCAGACAGAGCCAAGATAGCTCTGCAGTACTTCCAATAGTCACGTGATGTGACGTCATCACGATGACGTCATCCTGAGATCAACCACAGTTTGTGAAAGAGAGAAATCAGATAGGAGAGTCAGAGATTTAGAGTTGCGCTGTTGGGAGAATAGTAAGACAGACTCAACAATCAGATACCATTACATGGCTTGATTAATTGAAAACTGATACTTGTATAAGATAAGTCCGAAACTTGTTGTTTATAATCACTAAACCGGTTGTTTATAATCTCTAAACCGGTTGTTTATAATCATTAAACGGAACCAATTGAGATTGAAGACTGTGATTTGTGTGGTTTTAGAGTGGAGTACCGCGAAAGTGTTTCAGTTAATGAACTTGAATGTTAAGTTGTTTTTTTCTTCAGTTTAATGATAAGTAGCTTTTAGACTGGGTTTGTTTTAAAACATTTTGTATGATGGTTTGTTTCCATGGTTACACAAATCGTAACTCAAGCAATGTTACTTACACGATGTAACAGGACTCGTAACTCATGCTATGCAAAATTCACTAATATAAGACATTTAGGGACTTTGAAGTCTCGCACAGATTATGATTAATCAAATACAGTACAATCTGATTTTCTTCATTCAGCCTTTTTCTTGAAACTTTTAAATCTGCCTTATGTTTATTCAAACACTCTGTTGTTTGAAACAGACAATTTTTCTTACCTCCTATTCCTTATTATATGGTCAAATTGATTGAAAGATGTTCGATTTCGTAAATTGCTTTCATGTTCAGATGTACCTAACAACTTCATGATTACGTAGCTCTTTGTTTAGACGCCTTTTCTGAGTTTACATTTTATTTATTAGTGAATTTCTATGTGAAGTTTTGTGATGATGGTTTTTTGAAAATATGTTTGAACCCACAAAAACTGTAGTGTCGACACCATTCTCGCCCAAATACCTCGGGGAAAAATTCTAACTCTAATTGGAAATTCACAATCTACATTGGACCCGACCATTAGGGGTCGTTCACATATTACGTAATCACTTTTTGGACAATTTGTAACCCCCTCCCTCCTCCGTAATCAGTTTTACACGTATATCTATTGTGTCAAAATTACACTAGCGTAATCATTTGGGGAACCCCCGGCCCCTCGGCTGATTACGTTATATGTGGACGACCCGTATGAGCAGTCAATGTCTCAATGTGGCAGTCAAACTTTTCCTAAATGTCTCCTACAGTTCTTGATATGACATGAAGTGTCTCTCCTCCTGTCTTGGACCTGGCAAGTCGTACAGGATAAACGGCAAGAAGTTTACCGAAGTAAAAACTATCGGGGAAGGCGGTACGTTTAGTGATGAGGCCTGGTTGTTTTTTGTTAATTTGTTCTAACAATTTGTCTCGAATTTGAATTTGAATCAGCAACTATTTGATTATGATTGCATTATCAATCTATCTTATTATAATATTATAACGATTAAACCATTTTTAGGTTACGCGTTTGTCGTAGAAGTAAGAGACCGCTCCAACCAACGCTATGCATTGGTGAGAAATATATAAACGTTTTTTAAATATTGGGGGGGGGGGGGGGGGGATCATAAAGTCAGAATCTTACGTGACGTGGGGGGTGGGTCATATTTTCTTCCAAAACGCAGTTAGCACTTGTATACTAAGTCGTGGATCTGCTGCTCATTTCCCAGAAAAACAGTTAGTACATGGTACTAAGGGGGGTGTCCAACCCCAAAAAAACCCATTTTTCCTCTAATTGGGGTTTTGAGGCTTTTTTTCCTTTTTTTTGGGTTTCTTAAAAACATTTTCCTTTTTTTGTAACTTTTTATCTAATTCGATTGCATTGAAAACAAAAAAACCCCCTCATTTTGTCCCTGGTGGGTGTCCTAAATATTATCCGAAAAAACAGTTAGTACCGCGAAGGGGGTGGGTGGGTCTTTTTTATAAATTCCAAAGTTGCACTTAGTCGACGTCACGTTACCCATCTACAGCTTATTTTAACCAGAGTTTATTTCCATTTAACTTGGATTCCAACTTTGTGATGGTAGCTAACCGTATCACTGATATAATATACATAGTACACATAACTCGGTATAATTACTTACTTACTTTAGTATTACACATATTATACATTTCTGTATAATCTTACCCTTTTGTTCCACAGAAATGTGTGAGGTTGCAGTGCAGGGAACAGGAAGAAGCGATCGAACGCGAGGTGTCCGCGTACAAGAAGGTCACCAGCAGTCACGTTATGGAGCTATTGGATCACTGCTATGTGATCAAGGCCGGACAAGACAAGATGGCTTACCTCCTCTTTCCTCTTATGAAGGTTTTAATTGTATAACTAATTATATATAATTAGTTATATCTACTTTTTATGTGTACCTGTTCGGATCTAAGTACGTACGCTGGTGTAGGAGTTAATACTGGATGGAGTAGGCGCGGTGGTAGTTTTGGTTGAACAGTTGTAAAATGTTCTGATAGAACAATTTTCTTGTTTGTGATGTGCTGTTGCGATACAATTTCTACTAATTCCCAGATCTTTGAATGAGACCTATTTGTCAGAAAGGAAGTGTTCAAGACATTCTAACGAGGAACTTCACAACTAAGGGACACGTGACAGAGAAACAGATCCTGGATTGGACAGTGCAGCTGTGTAAAGCTGCTGCTTCCTTCCACAACAGGGGACTTGCTCACAGGGACATCAAGGTCAGTCTGAAACTACGGTATAAGTATTATATCTGCATGAGTTCACATTATATGAGGTAGCTAAGTCAGGTAGCCTGGAAGTGAAGGACATCAGACTCTGATAGACATTATATCCTTATCTCCTTATCTTATCCTTATCTTCTCTCACAATCTGCCTAAGTTTCAAAACTCACCAGCGCGCGAAAAATGGATTGTATCTTGATGCGTTGTCCGTGAGATAAGATTGTGACAGAACCCCTTACAGCCAGGAAACATGATGCTGACAGACAGTGACCTGGTGTTGTTAGCTGATTTGGGCAGTGTATCTGAGGCTCAGGTCACTATCTCCAGCAGAAAGGAGGCGGTTGCTCTCCAGGAACTTGCTGCTGTTAACTCCACCTCCTCCTACCGGGCTCCTGAACTCTTTGAGGTTAACTTACTTGTTACAACTTTTTTAATGGGGGGGGGGGGGGGGGGGGGTGTATTTGATTTGGGTATGTTTTAGATAGATGTTTGGATGATGGGGCAGGTTTTAAGATGGGGACCCCTGGCGACCCCAGCCCAACTTAGCCAGCATTTCTCCATATGTGGTGACGGCCGATGAGTTGTGTGTAATCCTGGATACCATGATTTGTTAACCAAACACTGTAGCGTCAGCAAACCACGATCTGTATCATTTGCTAAACGAGTGTTAATTACCGCTGAGTTATGTACAATTTTTGATAATAATGAAATTATTATAAACTGTTCCACGTACTAATTACAGCCTTAGCGAGGTTTCCTATCCGCACCTTGTCCGGTGTCATATGTCACCTCTGGATCCCGGTTTGTCCTAATAACTGACACCTAATTTTGGGAATTTTCCCGGTGCGATTTATTATCGGTTGTTGCGTTGATAAAACTACTGTGCATCTTTTTAGTCTGGAATCTGTTAGATTGAGATGTCACTTGATCAGAACTGTTTGCTGTGTTAATCGTTTACGTATTTCATACTTAATGTTGATAGATATTATATTTTAATGTGTACATTCCCAACTGTGATGACAGTGAGACAGATAATGTACATACACTTGCTGTTGAAACCTGACATCTCGTACAACACTCGAGCAACCATCCTACGACGAGTCTATTGTTTGTTCACAAGAGAATCGCAATTATACGTGTCTCTCCATTTTGCCACATGAAATAATTGTTATTTGCCATTAGAATTAATAATTACACTGTTCATGATAACACTATTAAAAATAACTCTCTTCTTGATAGGGAAATGTCTATAGCTGTATCCAGACTTACAGAAGAATACCAGCAATGGAAACACAATCACCCTCGTGACTTTGCAGCCAAACCCGTCAGTAACCTAGACGGTACAATGAACTATCTGTTTTGGGAGTGCTCCATACCGGGTGTGGAGGGGACCTCCTGGGAAGGGGGTCAGTATTATATAATCCTAGAGTTCAGCATGAACTACCCTGATAGTCCGCCTAGAGCCCGGTTTGTTCCTGAGATATTTCACCCTAACGTGTTCCCATCAGGAACTATTGCCCTGTCTTTTCTAGAGGAAGATAAAGGCTGGTACCCCCAGATAACAGTTAGGGACATTTTGTTAGGAGCTCAGAGACTGCTGGATGATCCTAATCTCGATAAACCGGCTAATAGTGAAGCTTACGCAATTTATACTGCCGACATAGAGGAGTATCACGAGATCGTTAAAAACCAAGCAACTGAGTTTTCTCAGGAATACGATGAAGATGAAGAGGATTGAGGTTACTAATTGGCCCAATTAGCGAGTAATTAATAGTAATTGGGGCCTGCTTTGTTATTCTTGAGATGTTTGGGTGGGTTTTTCTTGGTGATTACCTGTCTTGAAAAGGTCTTGAATTGTGTTGATAATTGGCATGTTCAGTAGACGGTGCTGTATACTCTGATAGCCGTACTGAAACGCGCGAGAGGGAACGTTTGCCATCAAATTGTTTGTCCCGTTATTATTGACGCTCGATAAATGTTGTGGTGAAAACTTAATGGTTGTTTAGTCGAATAAGCTGTTAAATATTATTATTAAAGTTCCATAATTATTTATTTTTCTACTCTAATTCCTCGCTGTTCTTTCGGGGGTTAAACGAAATAATGTTTAGTATTTAATGTTATATCTTTCTTCCTACTTTTATTTGATAGTCTTATAATATATAAAAATATAGATATAATAACGTAATATTATTTAGGTGTACGTAATCGTTTTTATTTTTGATTAAAAAAGATGATTTATATTTAAACAGATACTAACTTCTTATTGTTTTTTAATTGTCCTCTTTGGTTTATTAATTATTATCTTGGGATGATTCTATTGAAGGTTATTTGTAAATGTTTAGGGAAACGTCTGATTTAATCTAAGTCGTCAGGTTTGATGTGGATTGTGGAAGCTTCTGGCACACTTCAGGACAACTCGGTAGTTAAGACTAGAAATACCACTGAAAATAATGTTCTCTCTCAAAATCTTCATTTCATGCGTGTCCAATAATAATTAAGATTTTAGCAAAACTTGCTGAGCAAATCGTTTAAATTGGGTACAGTAGTTATTGTGTCGTTATTTGAATGTTGATTAAGTTTTACCGTTTTATAATGTGCCGATTTTTACAGCCATCAGCTTGTTTTATTTGTTACAAGGTCAATCTGTAAAGAATCTAAATGAATTGTATATCGACAAGAACAAACGATTTTTTGTTTGAGAATTGATCATTTTAAAGTGTAACTTAATAAAAAGGAATAATTAGCATAATTAAGATATGATTAAGATAATACGCTTCTATAACGAAGGGCCAGTAGTAATAAACTCCTAATTTCAGGTGCCCTCGGATTGCACTATTACAGAGGCTGTGGATATTTGGAGTGTCGGTTGTACAATGTTCGCTGTCGCTTTTGGTGAGTTTCCTAAAATAATAAGTATAATTTTCTATTTATACTCACAATTAAATTTAATTCGGCGCTAACTTTACCTTTTAGAATCATTTAACTCCTTACTACAAGTACTTGGCCGTATTTTTTCAAGTTTTAGTCATCGTTGGTGGAGATAAAAATATTCATCCCTCTGATGAATCATGAGGATTCACTAACATCACTTTGTTTTGCCTTGACATATTAACTCTCCAATTCGTTAGGCGAGAGTCCATTTGACGGCAGCGCCACTGCAGCAGTGAGTGGCAGAATACGAGTACCAAAAGAACAGTGAGTAAAACAATGTCATTATACATATATTATACATTTGTATATTATATATTATACTTATATTATATATATATATATATTTAGTTTATTCAGATTTTTCGTTTTCAATATTGCAAATTTTTAATAAATCATGTTCAGATTATGGTGATAATGGATGTAAAGGTACTTCAACCGAATTAACAATCCAACCGTGTGTATGACGTGTCCCAGTAGCCAATCATAATATATATATATATATATATATAATATATTTATAATATATAATATGTACTATATAATATATATATTATATACATATTATATATTAAAAATATATTATATATATATTATGTATTATATAATTATATTATACTTGGAGAATAAAAGTTCTTCTGACCTCGAGACAGGAATCCTCGATATAATGTGGCAATTTATATTTAATTCATGGGCACGGTATTTAATTCTAAGTAATTTTTAAATGTTGAATCTCAAACTGTAAAACACTCAAAATTCAACCTCCTTATATATCAACTCACTAAATAATTTCAGTATCTACTCGAACAAATTCATAGAGTTAATAAAGTCCTGTTTGGTCGTGGAGCCTTCTGAAAGACCATCTACTGATCAACTGATCGAGAATATCACCAATATATTCTCTAACAGATAATAATGTACAAATGTTGCTTCTTTAGTTAATGTTATATTATTATTATCGTGTACGTGTTTTATGTGTTTAGAGTTAAATTTAGCGTTTAAGTTGTTCAAACTCTTGAACTATACGCCGACTCTTCATGTTTTAATGTTAATGTGTAGTATCTGCGGGAAAATCGTCATAAAAAGTGTTTAAAACCACGAATTAGTTCACTTTATGTGATTTTTAAACTTGTTTTATTATCAGCTTATTTTCAGAATGAGACTATATTTTATTGTTATGGGTAAGTTATAAGTATTTTAATATATATTTATATTTTTAAATGTTTTAGTCTTTCCTTTAGATCTGTAAAGGGCATCTCTCTAAACTCGTGACAGCGATTTGGGCGTTTTATTTTTCGCTGCTACAAGTTGGTTGGACTGTTATGTATTGCGCATATTTGTGTGCTTTAAATGACAAGATTTTGCAGATGGTCATTAACTGGTAAAACTAAATGGCAGCCTGGATTCTCTCTAGCAAGGATGATAAAAACCAGCAGTCTAAATTTAGGCAAATACTAAATAGACCGCAATTTCACCAGGTTGTCGTACTTATAATTGAGTTGTGAGTGGTGTGCACATGGGTATTGATTAAGATTGCGGGAATAACTTGCACAGAAGTTGGGCAAGCCACGTATTTTGTATTTATTTGAAATTAATCTTTTTTTGAAAATTTGTTTACTGCAAAGTGGTACTGATAATATCAATAATCTCTGTGGTTCAACTTCACGGTAGTTCAACAACATAACATGTACACTCCACTCGGTAAAATTAGTTTATACGTAAAAATTATAATTGTAACGAATTTGTATTTACTTCACAATTTGCTTTAAATGTTCAAATGCTATTTTATTGCTCTGTAATAAATACAAAATAGGCAACTTATTTTCGATTATTTTGTTATACTTATCTGTTGTCCGATATTGTCGATAACCATAACACATAAGTTTTACAGCCGATGATACCCTTCTAAATTTCTTCGAAGTTAGTAATTACCTAACTTGCTAGTCCATTTGCTATTGCTCGCTTCCCTCACGGATATGCAAGAAGTGGCGAAAGAGCACCGCGGATTGTCCATTGTTAATGGACTAACCCGGCGTGGATTAGTTTACTGCAGTAAACTAATCCACGCCCATGGGCGCTCAGCCTGTTATTCCGCCGAAACTCTATTAGTTTATCCCAGAAACCCTTACTGGATGGGGCCTAACTTTGAAAGTAAAAGAGTTAGAGACTTCCGGTTTTTTGTAAACATGTTCGTCTTGTAAAAATAACGTTACCTCCCCAGGAGGAAAATGTAACTTAAATTTCTTCAATTGCCTCAATTGTAAGTTAAAACTTAAAACATTGTAAAAATCAGGTAGATCAATTTCTGTTCCATCTGCAAAATCACACAGGGCACAAAACATCAACAAGAGCTTATCCATTCTCGTCCAAGATTTCTGTTCCTTCTGTCCTCCTGTACCGTCCAAATCCAATATATCATCTCCGCACCAAGTATGACTTCATACTCATCCTTCATCTTGTTTAAGGACGTATACGTTACCGAGTGAAATATAGCAAATATCAAATGAAACACAATGATATACTGTCTGTTCAATCGACACTACTTTTGTAGTCTTCATATCAAAAGTATTTATTTCAGTGTAAACTTTTACAATATGTGGAGGTAAATAATAACTCCGAAGAAGTGAACGAGGAAGCCGAAGATCAAGAAAGTGATCATGCCATAATATAATGTGATATTTAGAATATTTAAATTGTATAATAACTTTTTTTCATTGATCCAATGATATGGTTTAGTCCGAATCCGATGATATAGGGCTGCCACTCTCGGTTTATCCTGTGTGTCATTTTTGAGTATGAAAAGGCATGTCCAAAGAACTACTTTCGCCTTCGATATATCGCCTATCGGACCTTATTTGACCGGACATTACGTGAACGGACATAAAAATGAAATTGAAGGCTCGAATGCATTCAAAACGATTAACAATCCACACTACTTTTGAATGAAATTAATACGTTTTGAGGCTACTCAAGCCAGGTGATGACGTACAAGTTTAAAGTAAAGATTTGTAAAACTATCTTTTTGCTATAAAGTTCGTCTATAGCAGTGACTTAAAGTACAAAAGATTAGTATTTGCCAGCAATGATGAACTACCAGCATCCTAATACAAAACATGTTCAATCAGATTAAGATTAGTGATATGAAGATAAAATGGTTACTACACACAAAAGACTACCCACAAAAGACTACTATACACACAAAAGACCTCATAAAACTACTTACCTTATCGGACCTTATTCACAGGATATTAAATGAACGGACATAATTATGAACGGACATTAAAATGAACGCTCGAAGGCATTCAAAACCACCAAAGCAAGGTTGTTAAATACGTATTAGGAGGGAATACGTATTAATCCTCGAAAATTGACGTATTAGTATACGAAAAGGTGTGGCTTGAACTTGAAGTTGAAATTGATTTGCGGACGGTCCTTAAATTCTGAACATCAAAATCATTAAATATGTATCAATATGTAATTGATAATTTCGCAAAAAATGTTAGCTTATCGGATTATCCATGAAATTTGATTACAAATTTAAGTTATCATGTATAACTGCACTCCTTTTATTTAATGCATTTTATTTAATGCACTTTATTTAATGCACTCTTTTTATTTAATGCATGATCAATGATGAGGGTGGCGCGCAGCGGTAATTTTTAATTTTGACAAATCAGCGTATTATGGCGTATTCGTGGACCGTCTATGGATTGTTAAATACGTCCACTGGACGTATTTAACAATCCATAGAAATTACCGTATTACGACGTTTTCTTTATTAGAACCGAATACGTCGTATTCTTTCACGAAAATTTGACGTATTTAACAACCTTGCACCAAAGATCCAAATTTGTTCACCTTTTTTTTTGTGCTTTAAAAATTTTAGCAGATAATTTTTAAATTAATTTTTCATACATTGAGCAAGAAAGGCAGTCGTTCAGCAGCAAAAGATGTCAATATATCTGTAGATCAGTGTCTATTTTTCTTATAGTTCCACTGTTGGTATCTCTGGAATTTTTCAGCTTATTGTTTGACGTGAAGACCTTTGTGCTTTGGCGTGAAGGCTGCTGTCCCTAGATTCCTCAAGTCTCCTCTGGAATGCAGTTATTTAACAGGGGCAAGTATAAACAATGAAAACAATCATCAACTGGATCTACTATGTACTACAAAATTTCATCTGTCAAAAAAATTAGAGCTATTTACATTCCACACGCTATTTTCAACTCACCCTGTACATGGCAAGTAACAAAATGATCACAGTCACGTACTGTGGTCGAGGAGTTATGTCCCCACTAGACTTCTATGGAACACAACGCTGGACACTTTCCTTAGTTCACTAGGATTCCACACAAGTTTTGTTCAAGCCTTTGCGGACGACCTGTATGGCGGCCGAGATGGCTCACCAAAATTTTCACTGAAAATTTTGAATTAAAAATTTAATTATACAATTAATCACAAAATAAAAACGATTTTGACTTTGATTTGTAAAATGATTTTAAAATTTAAATAAAAAACGATTTTCATATTGAAATTGAAAACGATTCTTATTTTGAGTTTGATTTTGATTTCAATTTTGATTTCAATTTTGATTTCAATTTTGATTTCAATTTTGATTTCAATTTTGATTTTGATTTCAATTTTGATTTTGATTTTTAAAACGATATTGATTTTGACTTTGAAAACGAGATTGATTTTGATTTTGAAAACGATATTGGTTTTGATTTTTAAAACGATATTGATTTTGATTTTTAAAACGATATTGATTTTGATTTTGAAAACGATATTGATTTTGATTTCAAAAACGATATTGATTTTGATTTTGAAAACCATGCAATTTTGATTTTGAAAATGATTTTTTTGCCGTGGCCGAAATGGCTCGGAGGCCGAAATGGCTCAGCTAGCTTTACCCCCGTGTTTACCTGAGGACCCCAGGCTATTATGTTCATTAACATAAAAAATAAAACCCCGAATAAAGATTTGGCGGAATGACAGGCTGAGCGCGGCCCAGTAACCCCGTGTGCGATTTATGTTCCGGGGTAGGTGGCCCATCTTTTAGTAATAGTATAAAAATGGGTACTACCTATCCCAAACCATTATAGAAACCAAGTTTCGACCTTACTGGGCCGCGCTCAGCCTGTCATTCCGCCAAATCTTTATTATATGTTAATGAACATAATAGCCTGGGGTCCTCAGGTAAGTTTCGACCTCTCAAACCACTCAGGCCACTCCGCTCCCAGGGGCCACGCCCAACCCAAAATAGCTGAAATCCAGGTCAAATCCCATACAAATCCATGAGACTTATAAGAATACATATTTTTCAGAATTAATCATCACCTATACTTATAGACAGCATTAGAGTAAGCTCTGCCATCTCGAAGTGATAATAATAATTAAATGTTTCGCAGATTGGCAACTGATCGGTGTAGTTGGTGTTGTACACACTGCACTGATAATGATATCACGTTGAACGTGTAATGTAAATATAGTGTGGATATATGCGAATATATGATATATATATTCTAATAACCTAAAATGTATGCACACAGCTAGGAGGACTATAGTACAAAGAAACTGCTGCTAACTTTGACGGATGTTACTCGTCTAAATTTCTTCGAAGTAGCGCGCGCCGCTTTCTTCTCGAAAGGCAAGTGCTACGAAGTAGCGCGCGCCGGGCCAGATCATTAACAATGGTCAACTGCTAACTGCTATGGGCGCGACAGCAGTAGTGAGCAGTAGTTAGCAGCAGTGAGAAGCAGTTAGCAGCAGTGAGCAGTGCCAGTAGTTAGCAGCAGTGAGAAGCAGTGAGCAGCAGTGAGAAGCAGTTAGCAGCAGTTAGCAGCAGTCACTGTCAGCAGCAGTCAGCAGCAGTTAGAAGCAATTATTGCCTACATTCAAGTGTCCGTAGAATCAGAAGCTTTAAAGATACAGCCATTTCAGACCACAGATCTTGAAGATAATTGTCTAGACTTTACATTATATCAAAAAATAATTTAACTTCATCATTACCACTTGATGACTTGATTTTTGACAAAGTAACAACTTTTCAAATCGATTTAACACCATGATTAAGGAGTAATTTTATTCAAAATTTGAGGGCATAGTTAAGTTAGATAATTGTTCAAGCATTCTGAAAATCGCTAAACTAGACTGTTTAGCGATCCTTCAGAACTGATAAGAAGTAAAACAATCAACAATTCGTTGCAGGTATAGAACAAGAAAAAAATCATGACACTAGGAAATCCCAAAAAGGCAGCCATGAAATAAATCTGAATTGAGCAAATTATTTAAGTTCGAATTGTAACACTAACAACGGCATCAGGCGGACATATATTTAGCAGTATAATAGTTTGGTAAGATAAAAGATATGACCTACTACCTAGGGTTACCGAATCATCGAATATATGGTATTCAGTAGGAATCAGTATTTTGTCCCGAATGCCAATTAGAGAATTACTTATTACAAAGTCTGGAATTCGCCGTTTCTGTTCATACTGTATAATCTACAATCGAGTTTCTTTATGCAGTATTCTAACTTTGACTTAACTCGTAAAATTCGAACTTGTTTCCATTTAAAAAAATTAAATCTGAAGCTTTAAAAAAATAAAACAAATAAATTTTGAAATGTTCTGATCACTTTAAAGTTTGTGCCCCCTTTTCCATCTCCTCTTCTTGCAACTTTTCCATCTCCCCTTCTTGCACCTCTGGCATAGAGAAAAGGACCATTATCTGAACAGCAGAGAGCACCAAAGCAGTGAATATAACGGACGATGTGGGAGCAAAAGAGACCATTGCCGACCCGGCCATCCCTCCTATCATACCTAATGAGCAGGCCGTGCTACTACCTAGAGCAAAGTCTTTTGTTCCAAAGTAGTTCACGTCGTAGAGTACGTAACATATGTTCAAGGCAGTGATCCCGTACACGAACTTAGCTATGAAGTTGGTTAAAATCGCTACCTCGAGGCTTTCTTGTGTGAGCATAAGTGCAAAATTTCCTATGCATATCATGGCAATTACACCCTGTAGTTTGCGAAATCCTATCTTTCCTTTAATACAGTGGGTGAGCAGTGTAGAGGGTATGGCTGCGAAGTTAACGAGTCCCAGTAACAAGAGTTCCGGCCCTCGAGTCATGGTCACAGAGCAATTACTGTTAGATCCTGCTTCCTTGATATTGAACATTTTGATCAGGGCTGGAACGAGGAGGGTGGTAAGCCAGCCATTGAAAGTTATACAAGCAAAGAGCAACCCTAGTTTGGTGGTTCGGCCAACAAAGTTAGGGACGGTCACTATTTCTTTCTCATCACTGTATTCTATCTGTGGGCCTACTTCCTCTGTGAAACAGCAGTGAAGCATGATGATTGGTGGAATGATCATGGGTAATGACGCACAAAGAAAGAACATTCTCCATCCAATTTGCTCAAGTAGGAGGAACCCCAACACCGACGACCACATTTCCCCCGCATAGTACACTATGGACTGTACCATTAAAATCTTAGCTAGAATCTCTTGACTGGAAACCATCTCAGCGACCCAAACATAAAGCAGTGTGTGTCTCAGTCCAAGACAAAAGCCAAGGAGTATTCGGGAAAGAAGGAGAGTGTTAAAGTCTGCAACTATAGCACATGCTATTGTACTTATTGCACTCAGGTAGAGCGAGATTATAATCAACTTTCGTCTTCCAAACCTGAGATGAAACTTTATAACCTACAAATTTTGAATTTCTGTACCTATTAGCAGATAAACAGTTACAATCAGAATCATCGGGCTATTAGTATTATATAAGATTCTGGAGAGGTTAGCTGTTTATAAGTTTCATGATAAGTTAATGATTCCAGGGATAATATCCGGTAGTAGAGACTAAATAGGACAAGTGAAAATACTGTTTAGGAGGAAACGCGAGCTTTCAGTGTGCTACACTTTCATCATATCAGGCTATAATTAAAATCATTGTTAGGATAAAATTACAATCACTAAATTGTAAACATAGGATATGCAAGTATCTACATGATATCTATATAATATAGTAACACGTAAAATGGTAAAGTTACATTGTTATAAACAAGTTAACTAATAGACGTTTACACTGAAACACATACACTGAGTCGGGTGTTACGTCGCTGCAGTGTAGTGCATTGCCCGTTCATATTTGTACTTGCTCGTTTAAATTTGTTGAACTAAAAATCCCTTGAGTTGCTCGCACTCTTCCCTATTGTTAATCTTAGGATTAAATAAGTAAATAAAGTAGACCTCTGCGACCTTTCGTTCAACAGTATTATGTAGATTTACTTCTATTTCTAAGATATCAAATGAAATATCCCCTGTCATATTGTTATGAAACTCTTAATAGTGAGCAGCTAACACATTATTTGGATAAGTAGTCGGCCTGTTAACTGCTCTACGATGCTCTGAAAATCTATCGTGTGCTGTTCTACTCGTTTCGTTGTTCATCACGACCTCACGACAAACCACACTGCACAACTACCAACTGCGTCATATGCCCGTTAATCAGTTCAGACAACCACGATTGTAAGCGTAAATCTATAGTTTACAAAGTAACGTGTAATTTTTGTTAAGAAATTTATATCGGGGGAACGAGTAGAACATCACACGATAGATTTTCAGAGCATCGTAGAGCAGTTAACACTAACAGGCCGACTACTTATCCAAATAATGCGTTAGCTGCTCACTATAACGATATGTCAGGGGATATTTCATTTGATATTTTAGAAGTAAATCTACATAATACTGTTAAACGAAAGGTCACATATAGAGGCCTACTTTATTAACTTATTTAATCCAAAGATTAACAATAGGGAAGAGTGCGAGCAACTCAAGGGAATTTTAGTTCAACAAATTTAAACGAGCAAGTACAAATATGAACGGGCACTGCACTGCACTGCAGCGACATAACACCCGACTCAGTGTATGTGTTTCAGTGTAAACGTCTATTTGTTAACTTGTATATAATATAACTGTCTAACAATGTAACTTTACCATTTTACGTGTTACTATATTATATAGATATCATGTAGATACTTGCATATCCTATGTAGTATGTTTACAATTTAGTGATTGTAATTTTATCCTAACAATGATTTTAATTATAGCCTGATGAAAGTGTAGCACATTGAAAGCTCGCGTTTCCTCCTAAACAGTAGTTTCACTTGTCGTACCTAGTCTCTACTACCGGATATTATCCCTGGAATCAATATTAGTATCACAGTATAGCCTATACACAGCAATTTGCGATGCTTACCTTATTGACAGTGCTACGGCAAAGAAAGTTGAAATTACTAATGCGATGTATAAACTACATTTCAGTAATCCTTCCTTCCATGAAGACAGTTCAATGTCACACGAAACTTGTTGTGTAATCATTCCTGAGGAGACGACGGATGTTTATCAGGCTTCTACTGTCTACACTTGTATTAAACAGGCTAGGAGTGAGGGATCATGCTATTAGTTCTTCGGTTGTTTGCCTCAATTGTAAATTAAAACTTTAAACGTTGTACAAACCAGGTAGATCAATTTCTGTTCCATCTGCAAAATCGCACAGGGCACAAAATATCAACAAGAGCTTATCGATTCTCGTCCAAGATTTCCGTTCCTTCTGTCCTCCTGTATCATCCAATATATCATCTCCACCAATTATGGCTTCATACTCATGCTTCATCTTGTTTAAGGACGTATAAGTTACCAAGTGAGATATAGCAAATATCAAATGAAACACAATGATATACTGTTTGTTCAATCGACACTACTTTTGTTGTACTACTTCACGACAAAAGTCTTCATTTCAGTGTTAAACTTTTACAATATATAAATAACTCCGAAAAAGTGAACGAGGGAAGCCGAAGATCAAGAAAGTGATCATGCCATAATGTGATACTTAGAATATTTAAATTGTATAATAACTCGTTTTTCATTGAATCCAATGATATAGTTTAGTCCTAATCCGATGTTATAGGGCTGTCACTCTCACCGTCGGTTTATCCTGTGTGTCATTTTTTGAGAATGAAAAGGCATGTCCAAAGAAACTACCTCGGTATACCTTATCGCCTATCGGACCTTATTTGGACCGGTCACCGGACATTACGTGAACGGACATCATTTTGAACGGAGGTTGGGTGTAAAGGCTTCTGGCATATACATATTAAACTATGTACTTTGGTGTTACAAAGAGAGTAAAAAAAGCAGTGTTCCAAGAGGCGGCTTTGGTTGCTCTCAAATGTTCCTATGCAATCTGGTTAGCAAGAGAAAACAAGAAGTGAAGTCCCTGCTACAACATCGCCAAAAAGACCCCCTGTTTTACGACAGATTGTCGTGATGTACTATTCAGGGATAGACACTTTACCAGTCAATAATTGTAGCCTGTATTTAGGTGTCGTAGATTCTAAAGTATATAAGATATAGCCATTTTGACCACAAGTCTTAAAAATAATTGTTTATACTTTAGTTTACATTATATGAAAAATAAATGCAACGGCGTAAACACCCCTTGATGACGTCATCAAGTTAATCGTTTTTGTAACTTGATTTTTGAGATAGTAACAACTTTTAAAATCGATTTTACACCATTAAGGAGTAATTTTATTCAACATTTGAGGGCATACAGAAGTTAAATAATTGTTGAAGCATTCTGAAAATTTATCGGATCATTTTCCTACCTTGCTTCTTTATAAGATATTTGCTATTGAAGTTAGTGCTTTTTTAAAGAATAATTTTATAAAAAACGCCAAATTTGCGATTTTAGTAATTGACCAAAACCCATAATCATGGGTAGAGTGAACCGCTGCCAGTGTCTCTCTTTTCCAAACAAAAGGAAGTAATCATTAATTTGAGGAACCGTCCGCAAATGCAATTTGATACCGAGAATGAAATCGGTCGCTCGCTTTTCCCCTTCATTCACGGCTAACGAATTGTAATAAAGCTATTAATTGGGAAAAGCGGAGCGACCGATTTCATTCTCGTATCAAATTGCATTTGCGGACGGTTCCTCAAATTAATATCATTTCCTTTTGTTTGGAAAAGAGAGACACTGGCAGCGGTTCACTCTACCCATGATTATGGATTTTGGTCAAATATCATCTCTTTTTGATTATAATGTCAGGATAATTTACACAGTCGAAACTTCATTAATAAGGAGATAATTTCAACGATTTCGAAATTCTGCCTTTGAAAACGTTTCCTTGTGTTTAGGTAGGTATATCTGTCGATAACCGACTGAATTTGGCACTTTTTACTCATTCAAGTTGGCATTAAATTCATATATAATGCCATTTAAATATCGCGGAAAGCAGAATATATTCAAAATCATGAATGAGCAAAATTCTCACCTTTCGCACGTGCAAACTTTGAGCGGACGTTGCGTGCGTATACAATATTGAATCACCGTAAATTTTTGCATGGTGGTATTTAATATATAGTTTAATAAGCATGCAAAGTTTCAGAAGATTTCAAATAGTGCTTGGATCACAACGGGACTCCAAAGTTGATAAAAATCGTGAAAATCAAAAATTTTTAGTGATTTTAGCTATTTTAATCAATTTGGGGCGAGTCCCCACGTGTGCAACTTTTCGATTTTTAACTTTTTAAAACTAGCCTATAACACAATTTAACATTTAAGAAGCAAAATTGAGCTCCACAACCCAAGGGATGGCCCAACACCAGAGAATACTAATTCACAACTTTTGTGTTTTTATAAAATTTTTCTTCAAAAAGCACTAACTTCAATAGCAAATATCTTTATGAAGGAGCAAGGTAGGAAACTTTTCCGGTAGATTTTTGGAGTGCCTTGAACAAATTATCTAAGGTGAAAATGTCCCTCAGATTTGAATAAAATTACTCCTTAATGGTGTAAAATTGATTTGAAACGTTGTTACTTTGTCAAAAATCAAGTTTTAAAAACACTTAATTTGATGACGTCATCAAGTGATGATGATGACGTTAAATTATTTTTTAATACAATGAAAACTGAAGTAATAAACAATTATCTTCAAGACCTGTGGTTCAAATGTCTGTATCTTTTATAGGTACTCTTGAATCTACTGACACTTGAATCTAGGCTACAATTGACTGCCAATTGACTGCCAAAGCGTCTATACATAGATAGATATACTTCAGGACAATCTGTTGTAAAACAGGGGTTCCCAGAAAACCCACTTCCGATATTGCTGAAACATGAAATTTTGTTTACAGTCGATTTGGATTTTGGACAAGGTCTAGACGCCCTGCAAAGTTTCAGATCTCTAACTCAATTTTAACATGTTTTACATAAACCCTATCCCAACCCTAACCCTAACCATAACCCCGAAGCTATCCATAATCTTAACCACAACCCTAACCCTAACCCGAGCCCTAAATAATCGAATTCACGTTTTACTAGCCTGTCACGTGACCAAAACGTTTTTTGCCCATAACTCTCCAGGGAAGCATTTTAACCCTACGTCATGGGGGGGTGATTCGGAATCAGCGTCCAAAAATACACCTATCTAGATCACTTTCATGCCTAAAGGGCCTTTTCACAAGAATTTTCTTAAAATTTGGGCGAGCGATTTAGTAGGAGCGCGTATTTTGCGCAAATTTCTTAAAAACCTCCACATAACTATTTCTTATTCCTGTCATCTTTAACATTGAATTAGAATGTTTTGAACTTAAATATACCTGCTGAACTACTTTCGATGAGTCTTAATGCCTGGAAAACAATAAAGGGGATATAATAGTATAGGGGGTAATTGTAAATAGTGTTGTGAATATAAGGGCAACGGTTATGCTTGCGCTTGCCAGCATTGTGATTCTCTGGTGTTGGGGCATCCCTTAAATTGTAAAGCTCCATTTTTTCTTCCTAAAGGTACTATAAATTGTGTTAGTTTTAAAGTTGAAAATCGAAAATTTGCACAAGTGGGGACACGCCCAAATTGATAGAAAACTGCTAAAATGTCCTTGCTGTACGGCAAGTTAAACAAGGAACTGAAACTACTAGGTTCCGTACAGGCTCAACTCTACACCCATGTCAATATGTTCATATGCAAGCCTCTTGATTATATAAAATCACCGAAAATTGTTATTTTCACGATTTTTCTATTTCACCCTTTTGAAAAAAGGCAATAGTGAAAGGTTACAAATGGAAGTTTTTGCTGAAAAACGTGGGTTTTGGAGATTGCAGTAGGTGCAGGTCTGAACATGTCGTCGGTACTTCCGTATGTTACCATGCATTGAAAAAGTGGGATGTGATTTATAGATAGCCTGTGAGTGTGATCTATGAATGCGCGGCGCGACTGTGTTTTTATGTATACGATGTATAATATTAGGTTATAAGCCCAATTTGTACGTGGCACGCGTAGTGTATTGATGTGTACACAAGTGTAGTTTACCTTAGCTTTCAATTTAAGTTCTTTGCTTTACATTTTACAAGTTAAGTTCTTTGGCAATTGAACTGAATTTTAAGTGTTTCCTGTATACTTAATGCATAATTTGTCAATATTATTATGAAGATTGAAGTGAGCTGATTAGAGCTTATACTTAAATTTATAGTAAATGTGGAATGGAAATCTACGTCCGCCAAAACGAAACAACGGGCGCAATTCTTGTTATCAACTTTGGAGTCCCGTTGTGATGCAAGTTCGTTATGAAATCTTTTGAAATTTGCATGCTTATTAAACTATATATAAAATACCACTACGCAAAATTTACAGTGATTCAATATTGTATGTGCACGCAACCTCCGCTCAAAGTTTGCACGTGCGAAAGGTGAGAATTGTGCTCATTTGTGATTTCGAATAAATTCTGCTTTCCCACGACATTTAAATGGCATTATATATGAATTTAATGCCAAATTGAATGAGTAAAAAGTGCCATATTCAGTCAGTTATCGACAAATATGCCTACCTAAACACAAGGAATTGTTTTCAAAGGTTAAATCTCGACATTTTTGAAATTAATATTGATATCAATGAAGTTATGAGTTTACATTTCGACTTTGTAAATTATCCTGACATTATAATCAAAAATAGATGATATTTGAACAAAACCCATAATCATGGGTAGAATGGACCGCTGCCAGTGTCTCTCTTTTTCACAAACAAAAGTAAATATAATTAATTTGAATAACTGTCCGCAAATGCAAATTGATACCGAGAATGAAATCGGTCGCTCGCTTTTCCCATTCATTCACGGCTTACGAATTGTAGTAAAGCTTATTGATATTCAATTTGCATTTGCGGACGGTTATTCAAATTAATATCATTTCCTTTTGTTTAGAAAAGAGATACACTGGCAGAGTGGCAGCGGTCCACTCTGCCCATGATTATGGGTTCTGGTCAAATATTCTATTCTATTGTTAAAGATGAAAAGGAAAAAAGCAACCAGCTGCTAAAATTTAACGCTGGAAAAAAACCCGGAAATTGACATATTTAGGTGCCTAAAAAACCATGTTAATAGAGATCTAAATTTTTTTGGAAGAAGACCTCAGTATTTATGAAAAATACCAGACTCTAAATTTGTTCACAATAATTATCGTAAATCAAAGAAGGGAGCGGATGCCTTAAATGGATACAGTCTGGGCGACAGTCATGAAAAGATAACCATTCGTTGAAATATCGTCCCAGAGTCTTAAACAAAGAACTTAAACTTAAAGAGAACTGAATGTTGTTGAACTGGAAGTGGAGTAGCTATATAAGGACAAATGTGCTCATCATATTTGGTCTCAACATTCCTCCTTATCTGCTTACTTGTATCAAGATA